AAGATGACATTGAAACCTTAACCACATATGTTGAATCACTTGCTCATTAAGTTGTTGAACTCGAATTGACATACAAATAAACTGAAGATGAGCTCTCATAAACAATAGTTACGAAAACTGAATATGAGCATTTGCTTAAAACTGTAAAGGAAGAATTAGAAAAAGACAACAAAGACAATGAACTCTTAATGCACTCAGGATCAATAGAACAAAGAAATGATATAAAATTTTGTTACATAAAACAAAAGAACAAAATAAAACAATTGATAGTTTGAATTCGGAAATGTAGAGTTAAGCTGAAAAACTTTAAATATTGGATAATAAAGTTGCCGAATTAAAATTAAAAGTTAATGAAGCTAAATAATAAGAGAGTTAAGCAAAAGAAAATTTAAAAGAGTATTAAATACAGCTTGAAAATGAACAAAAGAATTTTGAATAAAAAATGCTTGAATTATAAAACAAAGCCAAAGAAGATTTGGAAATGTTAGCGAGAGAAAATACCAATCTTTCTTAATCATAATAAGAGGAGTATTAAAAAACGCTTGAAGATTTGAAAGAACAATATTAGAAAGAACAAAATGAATTAGAACAATAAGTAAAAGAAGCTGATTCTAAATATATAAATATCAACACAAAATATAAAGAAACGGAAGAGGCTCTCAAAAAAACATAAGAAATGAAACAAAAGTGTTAGGAAAAGCTCAAAAAATAAAAGGAGGAATATGAAAAAGAAAAAAGTCTGTTTGAATAAAAAGTATAACAAGTTGATAATGAAGTTGAGAAACTCAAGGTGTTAAACAAAGATACTGAAGAAGAGCTTCAGAAAACAAGAGAAGGTAAATAAAAATATTAGGAGTAGCTTAAAACTTACAAAGAAAAATTTGAATAAGAAAGATAGTAATTAGAAGAACAAATAAAAAAAGCTGATGCTGAAGTTGAAAAAATCAATAAATAAAACTATGAAACTGAATTAGAGCATAGTACAGCTAAAAATCAGAAAGAACTTTATTAATAATAGCTTGAAAAATAAAGGGAGTAATTTGTTTCAAAAATACTTGAAATAGAAAAAGCCAAAGAAAATTTAGAAAAGAAAGTATTAGAAAATACCAAAGATATTTAATAGTAGCAGGAGCATGATTAAGATAAATATTCTAAATTGATTGAAGATTTGAAAAAAAAATTTGAAGAAGAAAAATTAAAATTATAAAAGAATATCCAAGAAGCCAAAGAAAAGGAAAAGGAAGCCTAAGATAAGGAAAAGGAAGCCACAAGTAGTTTAGAAGAGAACAAGCGATAGCTTTTAGGTTTAAAAAATAAATACGAACCACAATAATAGGATGAAGAAAACTATTAATTAACTACAGCATTCAACAATATTCGAAAGGAACTATAGAAATTTGATATATCTGTAATTGATGATTAAAATAAAAATGAAGAAGCTATGATGTATTAAAATATTCTATCCTATTTAGGTAATAAACAGAAAGAGTTTAAGAATAAACCATATAATAAGAATAATAAGTATAATAAGTATAAAATTAAAATACTTAAATACACCATTATATAGAGAACCATAATATTATATAATGTTTAGAGGAAATGAAAAATAAAATTAAGAGAACCAATTTGGATTTAGAAAATTAATGTTAAGGAATAATTATGTAGTTAAATATCCAAGTAATGAATTAACATATTATTATTAGAAATATTTGTAATGAAGTTAATTAATGCCCTTAAAGCATGAATATTTATAATCTTATCAAATATTATTCCTAAAATACATTGTAATTTTAATTCTTGAAAATCATCAAGTAAATCCATCTGATCCAAAGCATTTACTCAAATGTTAAATTTGACATAAGATTATACTGTTACTTAATTTAATTGAGAGTTAGTGAACCTTCCCAAATTTTTGCTTTATTCAATATAACTTGATTGTATTTATCTGCAATATCAAGTCTGAGATGATACTCCCTCCAGAATTATGACTCTCCTTGTCATTCTGAGAAACATTATCTACCCCCTAACAAATATTATTATGTTGTGTATATGCCCTTCTTAGATATTAATTAGGTGGTTTTAAATATTTAATATTAAAAATAATTTGTTTATTCATAACTCGATAAATTAACCGGAAATAATCAAAAAAAAGCAATAGCAAAAAGAACGTTTTGTTATTGAACTAGTCAATATTTGTTCTTATTCTTATTGAAGATGCCATTATTAAAACAATCTTGAAAGATTAAATTTTCTTTTTTTCGAGTATTTGTTGTATGCTGATATTTCACTTTTGATTTGAGAAGCAATCTATGAAATTTGTAGATGATAAATTTATTGAATGCTCTAAATTAAATGAGAACATAATAATAATTAGATGTTATTATATAATATCTATTTATCAGGCACAATATTAACCTGAAGCTTTGAGTAAATGTTCTTTTGAAATATTGATGAATTAGTTAGATAGGGTATTAAACTTTTTAATATAATAAAAATAATCATATTCAATAATATAAAAGATTTTTTCATATTAATAGAATTCCAAAATTTAAAGCTAATTAGATTCCTTTGCAATATCATAAATTAAATTAAATAATACATTTTTGTATAAAATGTAGTAGTAGGCTGAGTTTGATCTGAAGGAGATAGAAGAAGTCATCAAAAAGAAGTGTAAGGAGAGAGAGGAAGAGATCTCAAAGCAAGTTAATGATGAATTAACTAAGTACAAAACAGAATGTGAAAAATACATAGAAACAATACAAAAAGAGCATGAAAGAATATAAAAGGAATATGGATAAGAATAAGAAAAATTTAATAAATCATTAAAGGAGAAGATCAACTAAGTTAAGGCACTTGTGGATACTGAAAAGAATAACACTAAAAAATTGATAGCCAATGCTCAATAAAAAGTTGTTGAGATCACACAAAGCTCATTTGATAGTTTAGTTTAAGTTAAGGATTAAGAAATAGAAAACTTAAAAAAAGAACAATAAAAGTTATAAATCTAGATAGAACAATTAGAAAAGGAAAGGTAAGAACAAAATGCTTAAATTGAACAATAAAATATAGACAAAGGAAAGTTAAGGAAGGAGATTGATCATTTAACAATTGATTTTAAAAAAGCATCTGAACAGAAACATTTAGAGGCTTAAGAAGAAATAAAGAAAAACGTCAGATTAATCTAAGAAGACTATTAAAAGATGAATTAAAAACAAATATAAGAACATGAAAGGGATATGGAATCATTTAAACATTCCTTACAAAAGACTATTGATAAACTTATTTAAGAAAACAATAAATTATAAACATAATTAACGAATGCTGAAATTGAAAAAATATAAATGAATTAATCCTAATAGTCTTTAACAGAATGTAAATAATGTGTCCAAGATCTATCAAATTCCAATCTTGATAAAGAGTCTTATGAGTTACTGTAAAATACTATTAAAGAATATGAATAATCAGTTCAAGATATGGAGACTGAAAGAAAAATGTTTTTGTCTGCTAAATCTGAAATTTCTGAAAAGGAATAAGAAAAAAAATAGATGGAAATGAAATTGGAATAAAAATAGCATGGACTGAATAAATTAAAAGAAAGAAATGAAATTTGTGCGAAAAACTTAAAAGCATGCTAAGAACAAATTTTGAAATTACAGTAATAACTTAAAGAAAAGTCAGAATTAGAGGATAAAGCCAAAGAAGCTTAGTAAAAGTATTAGCAATAGCTTATAAAGTTGAAAGACAATTTTGATAAACAATAAAAAGAGTTATAATCATACATGGCTTAATTAAATGAAATTAAAGACAAGTTTGAAGAAGAATAAAAAAAGAATATTTTATTAAAAGAAGAATTTGAATCGGAGAAAAAGAGATTGTAAGAAGAAAATAAAAGAAATTAAGAGATTCTTTAAAAAAAACATGAAGAAGCAATTTTGTATTAAATTAACTCTAATTTAGATAATAAACCTAAAGAATCGAAAAAGAGATATTAGATTAAAGAGGAAAAATAGTTGAAATGGAATTGATAAAGCAAAAGGAAAGGCTCAAGCCAAATAATAATTAATTAAGCGAAGGTACACTTCATATATAATTTTCATTAGAACAACTTCAAAATAAGTTATCAAAGATTGGTGAGCACTTGCATAATTATAGAAGAGCTATGACTTAAGGTTTATAAATCAAAGGTAATAAATTAATTGAAAATAATTAGAATGCTTATTATCTGAAATTGGTTATTTTGAGAAGCAAGCATAAATGTATCCTATTGAGTCATTGTTGGATACTGGGATAACATCCTATTGATAAATATATATCTAAATGAAAAAGTATTTATACGAATTATTTTTCATCGTTTCTTAATTTATAAAGACTTGTATTTCTATTTGATAATAGGCTAACAAAAAAATTATCTAAACATTTCTCTTATAAAGATTATTAGGTAAACATATAATAAATTAAAATAATCTTAAAGTATTTTAAATTTCAAGGAGAACTATTACTGAGAAAAAATGTCTCTAGTAAATAAATACTAAATTTAAAGTTAATATTATTGAGATATAGAATAGAATTAAAAATATAAATAAATGTAAAGCTGAGTTTAAACTGAATAAGAAATCAAAAATCAGAATCTAAATAGCTAGAGAAGATAAAGGATTTGTCTAAGTAACTTCAAATGTTAAGGTTTGGATATTATTCAACCTATAATGATTTATTCTATGTTTTATAAAATTCAATATATGACCTATAATTAATTAAGTAATAGAATTCTAATCGGCCAAATTTTTTGGTAGCTATTATTATTTTTAATGCAAGATTCTGAACCAAGAGGTAGAGTCTCTATTGGTGGAAAGACTGATAAGTTTAGGATGGTGAAGTTGTCTCTGTCGTATAAGGAGAAAATTGATTCAACATTGTATATTAGATTCATCAACAAAACATTAAATGAAGAGGTTTATAAGGTTTAAGAAATGAAGTAAGAGTAGTAGTTATATACAATTGAACTAATTCTGAAAGAAAACTGCATCTATAAATACTATTACGACGCTCTTGATAATACAACTAAATTAAAACATACGGAGCTAGGGCGCAGATATTTTTAATTTGCTGAGACTGAAAAGATTTAAATTGATGAATGGAATAAAGTTTGGTGTCTCTACAGAATTCGTCCAAAGACTGATGAAATATTTAAGGCTTATTAGATTTAGGTAAAAAATTTACAAGATGGGAAATATTTTGAACTAAGAAAATCAGCAATTGTATTTCCAGCAAAGGATTTTTATGAAAACACAGGTGATAGTATGTCTTAAGAGATTATACAATTTTCATTAAGATCAAAAATAGATGAGAAAGAGGATTTGAGCTCTTAAATTCAAATTTAGAATATAAATAAATTTAAGATGAATTGTTTTTTTATTGAAATTGATCTGCAGTTATTTCCAAAATAAAAGTAGGATTAAATTAAAAAGTTTTTTATAGGTATTTGAGACAAATTAAGAATGGAATTTTAGTTAAAAAATTTAGATATTAGAAGAATAAATTAAAGAAAGAGATAAAGGGATATAAGAATTAGAACAAGAAAATGGCGAATTGAAGTTTAAGTAAAAGGACAAAGATTAGCGTTTATCTGAATTACAAATTGAAATTATAAAAAAAGATGAACTTCATAGAAAAGAAATAAACAACCTCATTTATAAATATGAGTAAGAAAAAGCTTCTCTTTCTATCCTTCATTGTTAAGAAACCAATAATTTAACGGTGGAATTTGATAAAAAATTTAAACGTCTTTCAGATCAAGTTACTGAATGGAATAATTAGTACAATTCAATTTAACAAGATTTCAATTAATTTTAATTAAATGCTACCAAAAGGATAGCCGAATATATTGAGAAACTTTAAGAATCATAAACAACCGTTCAAATCTAGGAACTTTAATTGATTTAATTTAAAAACAATAATTAAAATGTTGTTGAAGATGATAGCCAAATTAATGATAAAATATTTATAACATTACTTGATGGTGATTAAAAAGCATCCAAAGAAGAGATTACTTAAATGAATAGTTTACAAGAAACCCTCAAATAGTATAAGGACAATCTTCATGAATTGTAAATTAAGAATCAAGAGATCGAATCAGAACTTTCAAAGAAAGATAGATTACAATCAGCATTTAAGGTAAAGATCAATGAGTAGATTAAAAAATACAACACTTGTATGTTAAGTTTGGAAAATACATAAAATCAACTTCAAGATTATATTCAGAAAAATGAAGTTTTACAACAAAATAATTTACATGAGGTTGAACGTTATAAAAAGCTCTAAAATGTATTAGAAATAATTAAAGGGAAATATAAGGATCTTTAGAAATATAAAGAATAATATTAAGAGCTATTGGATAGGTATGAAAAACAAACACAATAATTTGTATAATTAGAGAATTAAAAGAGAATCGATGATATGGAATTCGAAAAGCAAATAACAGAAAAATCCAATTAAATTCAGTCAATGGCTTGCGAATATCAAAAATAAATCACATAAACTTAGTAAGAAAATTAATAATTATTGGAAAATTAACATGCAGAATAACTTATAAGATTGAAGTAGAAACATGATCTTTTTATGCAATTTTCGGAAGGGATTTTAGAGAATGTGCTTACAGAAATTTTAAAACCTTATTAAGTTCATCAAGCAACATTCTCAAGAAAGTTATCATCTAATTTAGATAGTGAAATACGTAATATTAAGTGTTTAATGCTTATAAATTTTGAAACAGCTATAAACATTGCTGCGGATGGAATTAATATCATCACAAACAATTCATTCAATAATTTGAAGGAAGATTTAATTAATATCCATAGCCAAATCATTTAGTAGATTTAGATATATAAAGAAAATATAGACTTTTCAACTATGAAATGTTTGTTATCGCTTATGAATGAGTTTTAACAAAAAATAATAGAAATTAAAAATTTCGCATATTCAGTAGAAAACATGTTATAATAGGACTAAGATTAGATTGATCTAATTAATAATAATTGTTAAACTCTGGAAAAAATATTAGATATTGTGATCAAATTAAATAGTGTTTTAGAAAGAAAAAACGATGAATTAACTATACTATTAGAAAATTAAGAAATCGTTATTTAAGCATTTGAACATTTCCGATAAAAATCATTAAGTCTTATTGATAGCATGTGATTAAAATCGATTTAGAATCAAAATGATAATTTATATAATACATATCTATTCCATTTTTATAATTCAAATTATTTTTAAATATGCGATTTAGATGAATAGTTCATGGAAATTTGTTTTAATTATAGGATAATTTCAATAAAATACAATTTCAGCTAAATCTTAGATTATAAATTAATGGATCATTGGCAGATTTTTTTCAATTCTTGAGAATTTACAATAAGCCTATTGTAAAATAATAATTTGAATAAAATTTTAGCTAAAATATTAAATAATAATGTAGAGATGACTTAATTAATGATATATCCAAATTATAAAAATAACTTTTATTAAATATTTCAACAATTATTATTTCATATTAGCAAGTTTTGATATTTTAAGAAAACTATTATTAATATTAATATAATTAAAGCTGATAGTACATTCATTTTATCGAACCATTTATTTTATTCTTTATTAACTTAATATTTCTTATTTTCTTATGATTATTTTATTAGAATCGTAACATCTTCCTAAAGCTAATTATTAAGTTATTCTAAATCAGTGATATTTTAAATATCTTTTGATTCTTAGTTTCTAATGCAGTTTTTTGAATTAATCTAATCTAATATTACGCTTAATTTGCAAATTTACTTCAAAAAGTTCTCATTAAGTAGATTTTCAATAGCATCTGAATTAGAATAGGTTGTCTACAGTTCTGATATAATTTCAACGCATAAATCGTTATGATTTTGTATTTTATGTTCTTATACTTATAGTAATTGCGTAGATATTTCTTAAATTATTTATTAAGATTATCGATAAGCATCTAATACAGGTTTTTATTTGGGAGATTTCTTATAAGGTAAAAAACTGATAAATCTTTTATAAAATTCATTTTTAGTAGGAATTTCATTTAGAATTCTTTCATATTTTTGATTTGCTTTAAAATCCATCTTTTATCTTTATTGTTAATTTGCTTTTTTTTACAATTCTTTTTAATTTTCTTCTTATTAATCTAGTTTTTATTAGATTTATGCATGCATCTCATTCATTGTTTTATCATAATCTTATTTCAATTGTAAGATATCGGATTCAAATTTTACTTACTAATCTTTATTTTTTTGTTACTCTTCTTCAAATTTTTTTTCCAAATCTTCCAATGCCTTCCGATACTTGTTTAATTCATCTTCTTACTTTTTCAATTTACTTTAGACAAATTTTAGTTATTCTTAATATCGATTTTATTTATCCTCTCTAATATTTATTTCTATTTGCTTTTCTTCGCCCATTATTTGAGACTCCTATTGGCATTTTTCTAGTAATTCTTAACATTTTTTCAATTCGTCTATGGAACTAATGCATTTTTATTTTATTTGAAGATTTTTTTTTCCTAATCTTTCCTTAATACATTCATTTTCTTCTTTCATTTCGACAACTTTAGATTCATAAATTTTCAATCGTTTCTGAAGTTCTTGAAGATTGTTTTATTCTTCTTCGGAAAATTGATTGAAATCTTCTGCTTGAATTGTAATTTCTTCAGAAGAAAAGTTAACGTTTTTATATTCTAATTCCATCAACTTTTGATTAGCTTCTTCATATTATGTGATATATTATTAAATAATCTTCTCTGAATATTGTTTGAAATTATCAAACTCAATTTTATTCTAGTTTTTCAACTGTTCAAGTATTTCCTTATTTTCAGACATAAATTTATTCATTTCTTCTTTATGCTTTAATTATATATCAATATTTTCTTATTCTAATCTAATTCTGTCCATTTCATTTTTAGACTCTAATTACTTTAGTCTACTTTCATAATAATTTTATTTATCTTGCAAATACTATTTTTTTTATTTATTTTAATTTTTAAAAATTTCCAATTCTTGTTTCTTTTCTTCCAATTCTTATTTCTTTTTATCCAATTCTTTTTCCTTTTCTTCCAATTCTAGTTTCAAATTTTTCAATTCATATTTCTAATTTTTCGATTTTTGTTCCAAAGTTTCCATATCTTATTTCTTAAATTTCAATTCTTCTTCATATCTCTTAACCTCATCAAAAAGTCTTGAATAATTTTCTAATCTTCTTTTTACGTTGCTGTCTATCTTATATTCAACAGAGATTAGATTTGAACTATGATTCTTTTGATCGTTAACATAAACTGAGCTTAAGTATTCATCGATCCTCTTGCTCAAGGATTCATCTATTTTCTGCTTTTCTGCCTCTTAATTAAAATTGATCGATTTTCTCACTTTTGGTTAATTATTCAATTCTAATTGAATTTAGATAAAACTCATTTATCTACTCTTCTAACCTTTGTCCCATTCTATGATTTCTTTACAACTCATCTTATTATTAGCATCTTTCTCTAGTTTAATCATATTGTTCTCATTATTTTCTTTTGTATAAATATAAACCATATAACCTGAAAAGTTGATTAACTTTTCATCAATTAAACTATATTTGCACCATTATTTATTCCACTAATCTACTTCAAAAGGATCATCAGGGCTGTATTAATAACCTCTAAAATATTTTTCACTGATAGTATCCTAATCATTCTTTTGACAATATTGATATCTATATTTGCTTTTCTACAAGACTTTTATTTTCGTTTAGTAAATCATGGATTCTTTATCTTTTTCATCTAACTCCATTTCGTACTCCCTATCAAGAGGAGGCTGATCACCATCTGATGGTCCATGCAAAAGTTTAAGAAATACTTGAACTAGAAATACAAATTTTATTTACAATTATTTTGAGCTTCTGGATTACTTTTTAGAATTTACTCTTGGCTCAGCTTGAGTTTAAAAGTAATATTTGCAAAGGATCCAGTATTTGATCTTGATTTTGATCTTTCTTCCATCATTATTTAATATGGATGTATCTAAATATTAAATGTCAATTATAAAATTAATTAACATTTAATATGGGAAATTCATAAAATGGGAAGGAAGATATGGATTATGATTAAGTGCTAAAACACTTCAATTTTAATTAGGATATTAATCATTACCAAATAGGAAATGTTAAGATTTTTGAAGCCATTGAAAATAAGAATCAGAAAGTGTTTCAATTTAAGCGATTATGCTAATCAGACTAGTAATTGCAACAATTGAAACATCATTTCTAATAACGAAAACTATTAATAAATGACCACCTGGTCAGAGTGTTTTACGTAATGGCGAAAGAATCAGTTATGTGTTCAGATGCGAGTCATGTTGTAGTATTGGGAGAATACTTCTCAAATAGCTTATTTTCAGAACACGAATACAAGTACGATTGATGTGATGTTGATAGTTTGAATCAGAAGTTAATTTTCAATGAATCTCGACTGTGGTTCATAATTTATTAAATAATCTAATGTTGCGCATATTTAGAGGGATAAGGCAAATACCATGGAGATTTGAGTATTCAACATGTTTATTTAGATCTTGATGGGTCTGTTAAACTGATTGTATTACATTAATAATAAAAACAAGGAACATGATTTTATACCAGGAGGAATGAACCCATTTTAGAAGGCATTATACAATAATGAGTTTCATGCTTTTTCGCCTGAATTGTTGGGTTTATTGCAATAAGGAGATAAGGAGCACCAGTATGGGAAGATAGACAATGCAACCCTAAATAAGACAGATGTGTTTTGCTTAGGATTGATGATTCTGGAATTAGCTTCGCAATTTCGTATATTTATTTATATGATAATTAGCAACCTAGCAATATTATGATTGGGAAGCAAAGTCTATGAATTATTAACAAATAATGAATGCCATTTAGTTTTTGCCCAATAGAGGGTATTCTACAGTATTGCAGAATCTGTTGTTGCAGATGTGTTAGGAGGATTTAGGAGCGAGGCCTGGATTTCAAGAGATGAGGACTGGGCTGGCATCTTTGGAGAATGACATATTATCGCATACAGCATTTTATAGAAGTCACATTAAATGATAATTATAATTATATTATGAATTAAGTTGAACCTTTTGGCATTAGAGTAATACCTATTAAGTGGGTGTTAAAATTTGAGCCACCCATTATAGGGTTGGTTTACAAGCAGCATCAGAAGGAGAAGAAAAAGCATCTCTACTAGATTTCATTGAATAATCTGATATTTTTGACAAATCCAGAAGACATTGTGAATCAAATAATTTATGAACATCCTGTTTATTTGAATAGGAAATTCATAAAGCATGAGCAAGTAATAGGATGTGTTTTTATGAATCTAGCTCATCGGATTAGTGCGTAAATTGCTGGATTATAAAAGTCAGAAGTTATAGGAAATGGTAGAGTTTATGGAAGATCATTTGGTTGAGTATGACGATGCAGATTCAGATTAGGAAGAAAAATACACAACTAATAAGAACTACTCTTTTTGATTTTTAATTTTATATAATTAGCTGATACGTAAAATCTAAATATGTATTTAACTAATACAAAATATATATTCTTAAATCAAAAGACAGAGCAACATTGTTGTTTTTCTGTGATTTTCACTTGATTGTATCGAAGATCTCTTTGTTACTGAATAATCAAATATCTCCATTTGTTTCTGGTTAGATTCTGCAAATCTCTCTCACTGCTGATGCTGCTGCGAGTCCTCAGCTTAGTCTAATTCCTGGATTCTTGGATTTCAGTTGAAAAGCTGACGTTTGGCTTTCTCGGACTTGCTGAATTTCTGAAACAAGATTTATTCATTAAATTTGAAAATACTGGAATATAATATTTATATGAATGTAAACTCATTTGACTGGGACATCTTTATAATCAATAAATTCTCGTTCGATTTTGTCTTTGGTTACATTAAGGTAGTCTAATGATTCCACCTGATGAGCCATCTCTAAACATGGCATGAGCTACTGCGTGTAAGACGAAGGTTCTCGCTTCTTGAAATGACATGTTTTCCTTAACACATAATTTGATTCAACATACTTTGGTAATTGGAATCACAGAATCCCCAAATAAATGTACTTCCAGATCCACCGATACTCCATTTCTGCTCAATGACTGATCCTCCCAAAGGCAATGTGAATATCTATGGACCTTTGTATGGATCCCATCCAGCAACGATGATGGAAGCTGACATTGAGCTTGGCATATTCATAAATTATATACTCCTTGTATTCGTATAAGAAGTTTCTGAAGAGATTTGCAGCAGTGGCCACAGCTGGCAATCTACCTAATTCTTATGCATGTGCATCTACATAGTATCGAACGTGTTTAGTAATTATTTATGTGTCTGCAGCTGCGCCACTTCTCAGACAAAATATTCTATCATGAATATAATCGATTTTATCAGCACATCTATCTGCAACAAATTGGCTTTGAATTATTTATAGATCATTACCCAGAAGATGTACGACTATCAGCTCCAATGATTAATCCACCATCATAAATGACAGCCATGATAGTTGTGCCTGTAGTTTCTGGTTCGAATTTGGATGATAAAATGTCTGTGTAATTCATTATTTTAAATATTTTTAAGATTAGTATTAAATGGAACTTTATAATATATGTAGTACAAATATATATTAAAATAATAATGAATAAATTCATAAAGATAGGCTAACCATTTAAATAGAAACCGGTTAGAATTTATATTAAGAAAGAGGACTTAAGTAGTTGCTCAGACATACTCTATAAATTAATTCGAATAGTACTTTTAGGAAGGTTAATCGTATTCGCCTGTGAAAAAAGGATGGGCCAAACAATCCTCAGCACTATATCTTAGGTTGGGATCCTAATTCAACATTTGCAATAACAGATCCTTGGCGTTCTTATCTTTTATGTGAGAACTTATCTTCATTCGGCCAGCCATGTTTTCATTAAGATTATTATAAATTCCTTTCCCGGTCAACAATTTGTGGAAAATGACTCCAATGCTGAAGATATCACTTTTAGATGTTATTGCCTGATTCAAAAAAACCTCAGGTGCTATATAACCGCCAGTTCCAGAACGGATATTTGTGGCCTCCCCTATTTGAGATAATCCGAAATCGATGATCTTCACTGTTCCATCCTGAGTTATCAAGACATTATCGTATTTTAAATCCTTGTGGATTATTTTGTGAGAGTGTAAATGATTGACACCTAAATTTATATTACGTATTTAATTACCTTCCAATAATTATTAAAGGATAGGTCTTAATATATTTATAGGTAATCTTTTTTTACTGTACTCATTTTATAAATCCCCTAATGATTGTTCGTGGAAGTCCATCAGTAAATACACTTAAAGCTCGTCCTTATAGAACTCATCCGAATGAAGTAGATTGACATGAGGTTTTTGATTTAGCATTTGATTAACTAATAACTCCACATTAGACTAAGAATAAGAATTCGCTTTTACATCATTGTCTTATAGAACTTTGATCACTTTTTAATTTTCGCCCCGTAACACTTGAAAAATCTAATGAGTTTATTTAATAATATTTACTTCACAATGCTCTGTCTTCTTTATCCACTTTTTAAACGAAACCTCTTTCTCCCAATTAAAAAATCCAATTCTACCCCTTAATACACTCCTTAGTTCAGTGAGATTATGAGACTCACCCTAAAATTAATACAGTCTCTATCCGTATTGACATAATGTGAAACCCTTTAAATAATTGCTCTGGCACCTAAACTGTGCTCAAAGATTCATACATGTCATAATCCCACTCAATGCAATAGTTGGTCTCAATAAAATCCAACATTTTTTCCTATCGGCCTTCGAATCCCACGAAACCTTCGATTATCAATTTCTCTTAGTATACTTTCACAATAACCTCTGATTAAGTTCTTGAGATCTAGAAGAATGGAGATTGAAATATTGGCAAAAACATATTCAAGAAAGATTTAATTACACAATTAATTCCTCTATACATTACGAATTTAAACACAAAAAATCTTAATACTTCTTATCAATATATTATCACTAATTTATCAACTATTCAGTTTATTGGTTCCCATCATCCTCTCCAGGAGTGTTATCATCTGAATCAACTCAATTCGCATCATATACTTACTATCTACCAAAAGTACATTTGTATTGCATTATTTTCATCTTAGTTACATTACTAAAAATATGGAATCTATAAACTTGGTCCATTGATTCTTCTCCACCCTTCCATACCATTCCTTATATTCAATATAAAATCTATTTTAATCTTGATTTATCAGATTTCTAAAATACTTCTTGGTACTCATTGCAAAGACCAGTAAATTGATGTAAATATGATTAATTTCAAAATCTATCTGTCTCTCTTAAAGCTGTCCTAGACCCTTCTAGAATTCATTTCCATCTATGCTTTTATCTTTATTAAAAGAACTCTGGTGTAATAGAGGGCTAAATTTTTGATTATTTAAATCCTTATAATTTCTCAAAGAAAAGGACTGATCGAATTATATACATCTAAAAACCTGCCATTTTGGTTGTCTTATCACTCTATTTACACTTTTGGATAACAAAAGACTAAACCAGTATTCATTTTCTTTTTTTAGAACACTCTAATGCAATATTTAATTACAATGATTTCACAGGGATTCATTCATTCTTATACTCTTGTTGCAGTTTCCGATTGAATTGTGTAATTTTTCTAAGTTTTTAGAATTTAGGATTTAATCTATATCTCATCTAAAATAGTGAATTTTATCTTGAATTCCTCATATCTTAATCCAAAAAGAGCCAAAACCTTATTTTGATTCAATATTAAATGGAAATTTATATTGTATTAGATTTTGATATGATGACATCTAATGATGATTTCCATCTATTTTTGAAATTGCCTGTGTTATAATTTATGTATTTCATGCCTTTGAAATATTATTTATCTTAGCGGATAGTGAAGCTATTCAATTTTTGGATACTGAAATGAATAAACTTATTTGTTGAGTTTATATCCGAAGACAATTAATTTAATGTGACAATTTCTTTAATATTAATTTAATATATATATAAATAAAATTAAAATATTCACAAAACAGTATCATCATTTCTTGCACTTTCAAATTAATCATAAGTATTATTGTAATAATTCTGCTTATTTGTGAAGCTTTTGCATATGTTTTTATTTCTGATAAATAAAAATATTGCAATAATGGCTGATAGAAAATAGATTATGGTTTTGTGTTATGTAAATGATTCGTAATTAGAATGAGCGTATCTCAAAATGATGTAATTAATTAGAACAACGGCATCGTAGTTAATGTATTTAATTGTCCGTGATATCTTTGGATCGATTTCTCGAAATATGTAAATGAATATGGTAAATTACACGATAAATATGATTGGGATGAATATGGATGCCACCAAAAATACTGCCAATTAATCAAATAGGAACAGCCCACTGATAGCAACATTCAATATCAGAAGTGACTCGCTGGTATATTGAATATGGCGAATTAATGGCAGGAAGTAGAAGGGGTATAAGAATAGGATGATATATCTTGCCAAGGAGGAGGTGAATGCTCCTACAAATGTATTGAGGTTGATTGTTGTTAACAGGATCTACAAGAATAGTATCAATATTATGACAGCCATGCGAGCAGTGCACAGATGTTTGATCACGATGAAGTAATTAGTTGTAGGCAATGACCTGCATCTTAAGCGTAAGGTTGATAAAGAGACTATGAGGAGGAAGAGGAAGTATTTGAAATATTTTAAATTCATGAATAGCTGAGCCAATTCAAGGTAACTCTTATAAATATAGATGAGTACTTCCCAAATACGTAGCAATAGGTCAGGGCTTGAACCGCTCTTTCTCTAAATAGATACAAAGTGTGACCAATGACTAATAGAATCAAACTGTCATATGTCATTTTATAAATGCTAGATACAAAAACCACATGAGTTGTACTGCTTAGGAAGTAGATGCTGAATAGATTCATAATTACACATATAAAGATGCACCATACCCTGCCTTTCATCCATTAATTGATAAATACCTATTTTCGCGAACATCAATCCAAATAGAATGGTGAGTAGCCACAAGTAATTAGGTTAAAGAGAGCTGTAAAAATCCATATCAACACTTCTGATTCGTAGATACATTGCTGTTAACAAAACAATCAAGTAATCTAAGAAAATATATTTTTTTCTTCTCCTTGTTATTGATTTTAACATAATATTTAATATTTATTTATTAATTGTGAAAATTCATAATTTGAATATATTAGGATGTTTAAGAATGCCTGTGGGATTGGGTGATTTGCTTCTCGCTCTCGGACTGGCAGAGGGTCTAGCTTTACGAATATTTCCTTCTGATGGTATCTATAGAAACATTTGTTTCTGTTGAGCAGTTCTTTGATCTGTATTTACCCAAGGATGATATTCCACATCTGTAATACGATATCTTTATTCGTTGTTCTTCTCCAACATTTGATTCAACAAACCGATAACTTCCTCACTCAAATTATTGGGTGGGAATTGCAATTCCTTGGATATTATGTTATTAATTATATCTTGTTGAGTTTTCCCATTGAAAGGAACATTCCCGAACAACATTTTATACAATATTATCCCCATGGCCCAGATATCCACAGAAGTGCTCACTCTGGTCACTCTACCTGCAAGAATCTCGGGAGCCATGTAATGCAAACTACCAATATTCACATGATCAGTATTTGTTGGACATTGAATTCCAGCTATACCAAAATCTATGGCCTTTAATTCATCCGAATCAGCTGAAACTGAATAACAAATTCTCCAATTTCAAGTCCCGATGAACTACATTCTTTTAATGACAATACGAAATTGCACAAACTATCTATCTGAAATATTTGCATGCCTCTTCCTCTGAAAATCTCCCTCCTTTCTACTTCAATCTATCACTCAACTCACCGCCTTCCAAATATTCCATTATCACAGCCATTTAAGTATTTTTTAATGCATATGAATTATACACTTTTACTATGTTTTTGTGACTCAAAGAACGAAGAACTTCTGCTTCTCGAAAATTTAGTTCTATGTCCTAAGCATTTCCTATCATTTTTATAATCTTTATTGCAACCAATTCACCTGTGATCCTATGCTTAGCAAGTGTCACACACCCAAAACCTCCTTCTCCCAATTATTTTATCGTTTCATATTATGAGAATGGCGAATAAGGATCAAATTCATCTGAAATTCAATTACTTAATAATACCTCCTCGAGAAGCATAGAAAGATTATCCGTCCTTAAAAAACTTTACATCATCATCAAAGATCTCTACACCTTATTATGTAAACAACCTCATCTCCTTAAATTTCCCAAATCTCTAATCTAGTTGTGTTTAAATATCATTCCATGTTGTATTCTATGCAATCTTCAAATCTGTGTACTTTGAAGAATCCCCATTCAAATATATACGAATGGCTTTTACAAAGCACAAAGGAAAATCATCATATTCTTCGTACATCATAAGTTAATTAAATTTGTTTCAACAGAAATTTATTTTATCATCCCTTCACAACCTCCTCGCTGCTCCTCCTTACCACCCTTTGCCATCTTTACTCCTCAGTCCTGCCTTTATTACTTCCACTTTATATTCAAAAACAATTCAAATAAATCTCAAACCAAAATAACATTATCTATGTCTATCCCCATCATTTTGAGGGTAACTCTTGACAATTATAGAATTTGAATAACAAAATTAAGACTTTTTTTAGATTGTAATATAAATATGAACTATTTTAACAATAAATCTATTTTTAAATCTAATTACTAATAAATAGGACCTGATTTGTAAATCCTTAAATCATGATTACAAATCAATTTCCAATACAAAATTCAATTGAAAGAACTTCCAAAATTGAAGTGATTCGCTCACTACAAAAATTAATCGTCTTAAATTGCCACTACAAAAACTTGATAATATTAGATTGATTTTGAATACACTTATTCAAGTTATTAAGACTTAGTTATTTCGATTAATAATGTAAAAAATTAAGATTATCGATATTTTAACAATTGATCTAATATATTAAAAATAATACCTCTGTTTATATTACTCAATTCATTAATCATCAATACAAAGCAAACTTATAACTTAAAAAACAATTTAGAATTAATAAAATTTGCAATTCAAAGGATGAAATTCTTTCAAAAATATATAGTAGATCGTTCTAAAATCTAATAGCATTATAATTATATATTATATTGATATAGTATTAAATTCTTAAATAAATTGAATTAAATTTTAAATTATGAGAACTAAAGAAAATATATGAATCAAATTTTAGAAATCTTGTATTAATATAACAAATATTTAAAACGCCATGAAGATTTTATTATAGATTCATTAATTATGATACTTTCATTTTTATTAAACTTCTTGCTCCTAGTTCTCTTCACCATTTTTATGAAGAACTTCTATCATTCTAGAAATGATTTCTTTGAACTTTAGGTAATTTCCTTATTATTTGGTAATTATCAATTTAATCATCTCATCTTCGCAATCAAAAATCTCTAGTTAAAATTAGATGGTTTCATTTAGAGAGTCTTCAGCTTCGAAGTTGATCTTAGAGTAATTATAATTAATATACCTTATATTTGGTTTCAGGGAACTTAACCACCTTGGAATTGAATACATCACAATGCTTTAACAAAAAGCAGAATACAAAATTTGGATCTTGATAAAGTAAGATTTCATTTGGTAATCCTGTAACAACACCTTTATTTAATATTTTTTTGTCCAAATCCAAGTTATATTATTCAATGATAGCAGTGAAATTTTCTTGTTCAGTTTCTCCGACTATGCTCCTAAATTTGCCAACTTGATTTCCTAAGATATAAGGATGGAAATACTATTTGGCTTTGCCTTTTAGGTTTCTAGTTTCAGTTTGGTTGCCTAAGCCAAAGCTTTAATTTTTGCCAATCTTTATTGAAATTCATATTAAATCTACTATAGAGTAGCCACTGGTCCATTTGTCCATGGATGCTGCAAGCATTAATCTAAGGTGAATCTCTTATCTGGATCTGGAGCCAACATTCCTTCCATCAAGTTTCTAAAAAATATAATTGATTTGATAGTACACGAAATCTTAGGTGAACTAAATGTTATGATTATTCTGACTATGGTTCATCCAGAATTTATTATTATTATTGGTCATTAAGTATTTATAATAACCATCTTTTTCAGTAGCTCTTTCGAAGGGTGGAGTTCCAACATGAAGAATAAACATAATCACTCCAAAAGAAAATATATCTGCTTTGGTTCCGTTATATGGACGATTTGCCTCTAATTCAGGAGCCTAATATCCTAAATGTTATGAGAAGGATTAATACCAGGAGTCCCAAGAATTGTAGTTAATTTTGCTGCTTCCATTATTTTAGCAAATCCAAAATCAGCAATTTTAAGATTGAAATTCGCATCCAATAAGACATTCTCCAATTTCAAATCTCTATGACAAATTCCTTTGTTTTCCATAAAACTCATAGCAGACAAGAACTATCTAAAGTAATATCTTTAAGCTTCTGGAGCAAAAGGTCCAGAGGTTGCGACGTATTCATAGAGTTCTCCATTAGAGGCTAATTCCAAAACCATACAAACACGTGATTCGACTTATCCATTTTTTTTCTATTTAAATATTTGAGATATAATACTCTATAAAGATAAGCATCGCCAAAATCAATGAGGTTGATTATATTAGGGTGATTCATTAAATTGAGAATTTTAATTTCATTAACAAGTGTCTTGATGTTTTAAGCTGTATTGTGCTTCTTCTTGAAAATTTTGATGGCCACTCGCTTTCCATCTTTCTCACCTAACTTGACTCTAGCAAACTTAAATAAAGAGATTACTTTGAATGATAGCCTTCGCCCAATTTCTCAATTATGTTGTACTCTCCACATTAGCTGTATTTTTGCATAATTTTTAATATATGTATAAAAATTAAATCTTATAATTTATATATATAGATTTAAATGGTAAAATTATAGAATTTGCAATCATAAGATAAATTTTGAACTTATCATAGGGTTTAGAACTATAATTTATATTATTAGGTAATTGCACTCAATTAATCTGAGTAACTAAGTAAGGCAACACTTCATTTTTGTCTGTTTCTTTAATCTTCGGTTTTCAGACTTAACCATAATATATTCTATTTATACCACATAATACACAATTAAATAACTTCACGATGATAAAGGTGGTTGGCTATTTGATTGAGTTTTGAATGTGATTGCCTCCATTTCTTGTTCCTATGATCTCGAGGAGGACTTCTCTAATACAGATAAGTACAGAGGCATAGATTTTTTTATAAGCATTCTTAATACAACGTATTTGATATTAGTAGAATTATTACCAAGAGGAGCGAGAAGTATAGCATATTATTATTATGAGAAGTGCTTCGAAATTAATTCAATTTATCCCTTTCTAAAATTATTTTTATATCTTACAATAATAAATGGATTTAGCAATGCCAATTTAAAATGTAGTAATATCATAATGGATGTAATACTTTTACAAGAATACAATACCCAATACAAGCACATCAGTGTTATCTATATCTATCTATTGCAAATTTAATAAGCATTTATGCTACAAATAGTAATTGTACTCACAACTCGCAATGTAATCTTGCGGTAAGAGCGTTAAACTAAGATTACTATCAATATTAATATTCAATTCAGGAAATGATTATTCATTGTAGGAGCACACGATTTCATTGATTTAATTTGATGTTTCCTTTTAACAATTCAGATTATAATTCTCGTTAAAAATAGTAATTAGCTTATTGAATTTATCCCTTGATATTAAGATTTTTGGTTCTCCACTATCAAATACAATAATTTGGGAAGTTGACTCCAATATTTACTTATTGTTTTTGCCAACAATTTAAACTGAAGAACCTTTTACCATCCATTATTATGAGTTGAGAGTTTTTACATATTGTAATTCATTGATATAGTGATGTTTGATAGGTTTTCCAAAAATTAAGATAGATGTCGGTTAACAATTCTATTCATTTAATAAAAGTCCAAATTACATCTCATCAATCACTTTGGAATCATACAATTTCTTCAATAAATTATCTTCCTTTGACAGTTGTGATCTGCTTAATCCAATTGCACCATCAGTAATAATTGAATAGAAATAATCCACCTTTGATGCCTCAATTACTTACAAACTCAGAGATTGATTCATTAGTAAAAATGTTTGATTGTACTCAACTCCAAAAATTCTGCCTTATGAGTATTCCTTTGTTTCATTATGTGTTGGAATGCACTTCTCACATTGATAGTATGTCTTTCTATTGGAAGTCTTGCCGAATATCCACATTTCATCATTCCCAGTATCAATCAATAGATTGTAGGTTATATCATTTGCTTGGATGGGCATGCTATAATAATTGTCTTAGAGGTTTGTCAAATTGACCTCCAAGCAAGTGACTATGGGTATAAACAACATTATCATTTTGTAATTAATTATAATTATATTTGGGGGTTCTCTACTACAATTTTTCCTATATCATAGATTTAATTTATTTATTTCTTTAAATTATAAATGATTGTCTGATTGTATTTGATAAATTAAAATTATTAATCACACTTTTTATAATTAATTTATCTAATGTAAACTAAAGAGAATAAGTAAAAATTTGCGCTCATTTTTTTAGTTCCACTCTTTCTACAAAATATATCAGATCTGATGGTATTCGTAAGTTAAATGATCTAACCAATTACGATACTATACGATAATAGCAGAAAATGTAGATGAAGCTTTCAATGAGCAATCAATATTAAAAAATTCTTGGAAGATTGCCAGATGCTAAGTTTTTTAATCCGAAATAAGAATCGTATGTCTCCTATCCTTGTTATAATGAGAAATATTTAAAGTTTCCTAAAGAAATTTTATGCAAACTAAAAAAAAGAGTAAAAATAAATTTATATCTTTAGACCTAAGATGATGATTGCGATACCGATGAAGAAGTGAAACAACATTCAATAAATCACAATGTCACAGAAATTATAAAATCATTATCTTCAATAAATAAAAAAGCATACAATGCATCAGATTATTTATGATTAATATTTTCTTAATTTAAATTAGAAGTATTATATCTCCTGATTTTGCTTTGCATTCCACTTTCATCCTCAATTATCTTACTGCAAAATTAGTTAAAATATTTATATTCTATTCATTAATCCAGATTTTAAATTTATTTACCTAATTTTAACGTAATAATTCAAATTAATACTCATGTCAATCCAAAGCATGCTTGTATACTCTCAATAGCCAAATAAATGACTACTATTTATGACATTAATATATATTGCATATATAAAATAATAATTAACGAATATATGTGTTCAAAAGAATAATAAGAATCTAAAACTCTTAGAGATGAAGTATCACCATCAATCAGAGATTTCATCACCAATTTTAGAAAATAGCAAGCATAACTAGCAAAACAAAATGCATATCAGCAATCCATTTAAAAAAGCATTCCCATATAATAAATAACACAATTGCAATTTATTAGATAATCAGTTGATACTTAAACAGACCGAGCAGAATTATAATCAGATACATCTTTCAAAAGAAATTCAGCGTAAATCTCATAAAGATAAAATTCGACATTTTCTTAATCTTACTTGACTACTCGAGAAGTACAAAAACAATGCGAATATAATTAAGCAAAACCCACCGATGATCTTCCATCAACAAGAGTGAATTTTCATCAACTTCATCAACACTATCTATCCACTTAATCAGAATTGGGTACTTAGAACATATCTCAATAATTACCTTTGATATACAGATCTCCATAAAAGTGTGAGGGTAATATCAATTATAACTAAATGACTGAACAAATCAGAAACAAAGTGATATATGAATTAGATAAAAGAAACATAGAAAATAATTCATTTTCATAATAGCAATCTTAATCTAAGTCACTTTCTAGTTAAAAAATGATTAATTTATCGCTTAATAATTAAACTACATCCTTGACGGTTATACCATAACCAAAAAGTGAAGATGAGGATTCCTTTATAAAATTTATGTATCCATTTATAACTGATATTCCCCTAGTTAAATGAATCTGGTCAATAAGAGCAAGGCGCATTTGGAAGAACAAGAAAATCGACCACCTTAATAGAGTCTTATGTAATACAACTCAAACATTACAAAGACTAAATAACAACATTTAAAATAGTCCATAAGCAAATAAAGAATTTCAGAATCCTTAAATCAGAATAGTAAATTTCAAAATTATCGATAGGAGTAATAAAGAATAAAAGTTGTATCAAAGCAAATACAAATACGAATACTAAATCAAATGCACATTAAAGACTATATTAAGATGCATGTATGAGATAGGAGAGAAAATCTTTGGCTATTACTAAAAGATGCAGATATTGAATTGATATTTATATATAATACTACTACTATTTATTATTATTATGAATGAATGAATTGATATAAGAGTTACTATTATTATTTATTTTCGAATTGAAATCATAGATATATAGTTTAATTGAAAATTAAGTGTAAAGACTTATTTATATTAATAAAATCATATGATATTCTCCATTTGAGATCTAACTGATTTAATAAATAAAGGATTGTCTAATTGTCTTCTATTGGCTGATAGCTATCTTTTGATTGGTTACGATTATTTTAACTGTTAGGTTTTAATTTATTTATTATCAGAATTATCAAAGTGTTTTTAACTAAGTTATTTAGGCCTGGCTGAAAAGTGTTTTCCAATAGGAGGTAATTTATGATTTAAAATACTGTGTTCTTCTTCTTTTTGAATGACCCATTTTTTTGTTTCAGCAAGATGCAACGCCTTCTCCTCTGAAGAGAGATTATTAAACAAGCCAACAAATTGAGGTTGATTATCGATGGGACACAAGTAACAATGTTCTTTCATTCTGTTAAGACAACCTTCATCTGCAATGTGACCGCATTACAATAGTCTCAGTTACTTTGGTTTATGGCAGAAGGAACATTTGCTTTGTTTCTGGAATCCAGTGCCTACCAACATCAGTCCTCCAGTTTCATGATTACCAGCATTTAAATTTTCAGGGAATATGAACATTAGCGATTCATACGAGCAATTGGCCTCAAATACGTATTTCTCAAGCCTCGTGTGTTTAAACATGAAGATATGTTATTAATGGATCTTTTTACTATGACACTTATCACACAAATGATAATTGGGACATGAGATGCATGTATAGATTGTGCCGATGATAGGTGTTATTTTGCAATAACTACATATTTTGTTGTGAGTCTTGTGTAGGTTTTCAAATATCTTCTCTTCTTGTCTTATTTCAACCAAGGCAGTGTCACCCCAATCAACTCTACACATGGGGCAATTTATCTTTTTGCCAGCTGTTTATTTTTGCATCACCCAGACTTTCATGCATTTGGCATGGAAATTGTTTCCACATTACTTTTTGCAATGCACCAAGGCTTCATTACATAACAAAGTCTCTTGGCATATTGGACACATGTCATCTTCTGTTATTTATTATCGATTTTATTATTGATCTTCAGAATTAGTATTATTTTACTATACTTATTGCTGTTATTATCTGATCACACTTATCTATTGTCTTGTTTTAGTCTGTTATGATTTGGTTTTATATTATCCATTTAAAATATTTGTGATATCATATTGAGAATATTATTGTTACCATAGAATTGGGCATTTTTCATCCACTTGAAACACTTTTAATAACGCATGGATTGTATGAATGCAATGCTGGTTATTCTAATTGCAAGAACAGATCATAGTAGTCGATAATTCTACTTTAAATTTATTTCCATCCTCATCGCAATACTTTAAACTAGTTGGCCCAATTCTCTTCAATAAATATAACCTGGTTTATTTGGCTTACTCTATCAAATCTAATATTATCTGAGGAGCACTAAAAGTTGTTAAATCATTTACTTTTTAGATGTTTTCACTTTTGTTTGATTTTTCATTTTATATTAAATAATGCTTAATCAAATACGATTAATATAACTGATTTTTTATTATTTTGAACTCTTTTCCATTGAAAGTATGATGTCAAATAATGAATACTCAGTAGTATTATTTTACAATTGATATTCTGAATAATACAGAGAATGAGATCCTATTATAATCTTTGTTAAATATCTTGATTCTAAAATTATATTTAATTTTAGAATCAAGATATTTAACAAATACTATTTTTTGTAAAATGTATAAAGTAATTCTTTATATAAAATAAATTCCATACTTTTTTTAAAATTATAAAATATTCAAAATATATTCAGGACTTTGATTTGTTAGAAAGGAGCGATGACTTAGAAATTAAAATTAATTTTATGAAAGAAGACGATTCTGCAATTTAGTAAAACAAGATTGATGAATTAATCAAAGAGTAAAAATACTCTGCACTCATCTAATTGATTTCTAGGAAAGATCCACAAAGGTCAACCAATTTATATATTTTAGACTTAAACAATATAGTTGCATAAAAATTAAGAATTAAATCTTCAGATTGAAATAGGATGTTGCTGTCTGTGCCAATAATAACGATATTTACTACGGAAAGCTAATTAAGATCTACTGCATTAAGGATGTAAATGATTAGCATGTTCCAGTAATCTAAGTTCAATGGTAATTGTTTATTCATCATATTAATTGTAGGTATTACACCAAATAGGATTTAAATTTGGATAAAAAGTCAATGAGGAGTATTTCAATTAAAGAATTGTTCTTCTCAACTCATGTGGAATTTTTAGCTGCTAATAAATTATAATGTCCAATAGAAGTGATGACATTTGATCAGTATACACAATTAGAATATGGAGAAGAAACTAAATTCTTCAGTAGAGCAGCCATTGATCTTAAAACAATGGAACCTATGCCTAGAGTCAGTGAATGGCAAAAATCATGTGTTTGTAGAATGCCTCAGAACCCAGACATACAAGTGATTCAATGTGAAACATGTGACGAATGGTTTCATTTAGACTGTGTTAATCTTAAGTCAGAAGAAGCTGAATAAATTGAAAACTATAAGTGTCCAGGTTGTTAATGAGACTTCGATCTTAATATGATTAATTATTCATCGGATTTTTAAAATAAACCCTTTTCAATCTTGCTTGTCTAATATTTTAAAATTTTAATTTTCACTTAAAATTGTCATACTTGATTAGCAATAACTTTCTATTATTATTTCTTCAAATATCACTCTATTATCAAACAGGTGATTGATCTAATCTAACATAATTTTGAAATTAATAATATTTTGACAACTAGTATTTATTCAAAATGGAATTTAATTCTTGACAATCTATTAACTCTTATCAGTATTGAAATCACACTTTGCTATTCCTTTTAGTTAAAGGAATGATATAAACACTCAAAAATTCTAATATTATTCAAGTATAGAAAAAAGCAATAGTTCTATGAAATCCATCTTAAATTACTCAAAACTACATGAGAATTGATTATTGTTATTCTAAGCTTCAAAAAATGTATATAAGAATTTATCCGCTGTTATTAAGCTATACTTTAAGTTAAGGAAATATATCTTTAAGAAATAATTGCCAGATTTGAAATTGGGTTAGTATTGTCTATAGATATAATTATCTAATTTCCTTTATTTAATTATCATATTCTTTAGATAATGAATTACTGATTGGATGCGAAATATATGATAAAATTTTTGTTATTTCTCTTAGATGTAGTTTAAATTTAAAATATAGATATAAATGTTTAAGTTATAGTTTATAGATAAATGAATCATCATTTTATATAGTAGTTTTCTTCATCCCCTTTCTTCATTGAGGAGCTCATCATTTTAGAAGAATTCATTCTGGACTATTACATAATTGATTAGTTCTTCATAGTTTTATCAAGTCTTGTAATCTCCTAGTTTTATTAACTAGTCAATTCCTTTCTAACATTCTAATATTTTTAGAGTAATCTAATATTCTATATACATATAATATACTTCTCCAATTCTTATGATCTAATCTTCCTTTATTCTTCTTATCCAGATATAATTCTTTGTTACAAAGCAGCTAATTCATTGGTTTGTTTTAACTTAAGTTAAGAGATTAGATTTCTGATTTTGCTGGTTCTTGAAGCATTCCATTTTTCATATTCATCTCTCTCCATAGCAAGTATTCTTTATTGGGTGAGATGAGCTTCTTAATAACTATTTGTTTAATTGAATTTGATACTTCTCTTGTCTGGCTAATGACTCTTCAGTCTTCCTCAAACTGAGTAATTCTGCAGAGTCTTTGGGTTTGACTGGAATAGAGTTCTCTAACTCATCAGTAAATTGCTTTAACTCTTCATCGTGTCTTTATAAGACTTGTTCTTTAACTCTTTGAGCTTCTTAATCAAATTCAGCCATTTTTTAATCCCAGAATTCGTTAAATTGATTAAACTCATCAAGATGGGCTTTTTCAATCTCCTATTTTTCATTAGTATGTCTGTCCTTGACTTCATATTTATTCTTCTGATCCAATTCTTTTTTCAACTCAGCAAGTCTCTTTTTTGCTTGATCAGCTTCCAAATATTTCCCAGCCTTCTCGCAGCTCTTCTGATGTTCATACAAGATTTGTCTATGATGAATTATAAGAATGCTACATGTATTCTTCGATGTCTCCTGTTTAGACTGGAAGATTGTTGGTTCCCTTTCTAGCAGTTGATCTTGAGTTATTCATAATTTTTATTTAATCTGTTAATTAATTAAATAGTTATAAATCTTATCCAATTATAAATATATTTATCTGTTATAATAATAATGTATTATAGCAACAGCTAAACTTCCTTAATCAAGTCTCCGTATGGCTAAATCATTACGAAAACTCCACTTGTACGATAAAATCGACCCTAAGAAAAACTGAACGATCAATCAATTGTGTCTCAATATCAATCTCCCACACTCAGACAGGCCATGTCTCCAAAGGCAGCCAGAGAATACTTAAATAGTTTAAAGAGCTTCATAAATCAATACGAATCAAAGCCAATAAATGAAAGTAGGATTGCCACTCAATCGAGTCATCAATCGATTCTCTAATAGCCATACCTATACTTTCCTATAGCGAATAGACTGAATGATGAGATCAAGTTGATGACTCCCCAAAGGATTGAAGTCAAGAAACTAAATCAAGATGGAACCGTGCACTCTCTTAAATATTATTACTTGAAGCAACCAGTGTTGAGCAGTTCGAACGATGTTCCCCCTTAGAAACAAACCACAATAGTGGGATTGAATCATAGTGGCAAATATAAATTGTTCTTAGAACTCATTAAGAAAGTTATGCCCAAACAATTTAAATTATTCATCCAAACAGATCAAGTGGACAAATAACTCAACATTCAAGTGAATGACGATCTAAAATCAACAATCAAAAGTTTCAAGACTGGATCGAAGAATTATTAATTAATTGCCCAGAGTGACTAACACGTAATTGTATGTCGAGGACTCCAGGGATTCATTAGAGATAAAAAAGATAAAGGCATTCTCATTTTGTGCATTAAACCTGGCAAGGAAGCAAAATTGGATTGTGTCCAAACTCTTAAATTGATAGAAAATATATAAAAAAATTGATCTTATATGTAATATTTATTTCAATATAAATGGGTACTTGCTAAGTGAAATTTTGCAGATGCATCTGCCAAGAAGGCAGACTTGGTTGCTAATGCGGTAGTCAAAATACCATAATGCTTGAGGAACAATCGAGGGAGATTAGGAGAAGAAGAATTACTTCGGATTAAATGGTAAACAATATCAACTCACACAAATAGAGAAGATCCAATCGTTTTGAAAATCAGAAAAGTAGGGCTGGGTCACCTGCTTAATCTAATTCCAGTGGTTCTTAAAATAAAACCAAATTCTCCACCTATCGCAAAGCTACTAATAAATCTCCAAACTCAGTCGAAAGATATTTGATGTCCCAAGAATGCAACATACCTACAGACCATAGTTAATAAGACAATAAACGCAAACCAAAAATTAGAGATCAAGCTTTTAAGATAGGATAGATTTATTTCAAAAAAGAGGATTATGACTTTTAATTCCAGGAAGCCACCGAAAAAGTACTCAATACTAATGATAACAAAATGGAATCACCTCATTTTCAAAATTCAAAGAAGAATCTAGAAAATAAACAAAGTCTGGATTAAATTCAGTCAATCTAAGATCCTAGTGCTTCTATGAAGACACCTACAACTACTGCTCTAGATGCGACAAATAATCGAACCATGTCTAATCCATTATTAAATCAACACCCTTCGATCTCCAAAGAGAGTTCTCCTACCAAAATCTCACATCCCATAACCTAAGTCAGTATTGGACCTATTTCGAATAAGCAGTCCTTGTCTGTGATTACAGATTAACAATAATTAAAAAATAGATCACGTACTGCTGATCTATTCGACGACTAAAAGAGTGTTACCATAAGAAGCGTATTAAAAAAAAAATAAAAAAATAATGATTCATTCAGAACTTAACAATAAGAATCCAGAAAAGTTAGATTCGACTTACCTAATTCACATTATATAAGAGAAAGACAACGATAACAACCACGACTATATTAATGATTTTTATTTGTATTGATTAAATTGTCTATAACTAAAAAACGAATTTGATGATTTTCCTTCCAATCCATTCTTGTACATTTTAAAAAAACTTAATTAAAATAAATAAATAATACAAATTAATTTCATTACATATTTCCAGGAATCACAAAAATGTTTGTCAACCTATTAAAAGTTCAAGTCTAATTTATAAATTCTTGAAGAATTCTGTATAAATAAATTTATCATCTTTATTAACATCCCTGTATATTAAATTCTAAAAGATAAGTTTATATGCCGATAAAAGAATATCCAAAATTTGTATTACTTATTTTATGACTGAAACTTTGGTAGCATAATAATCTTCCATACTTCTTTAATATATTTAGGGCTTAAATTGAGTGTTGAACAAAATATTTTATTATATCAAACCATTCTCTTAGATTCTATTCTATTTTAATTAATCTCAACTCCTTCTTATTCAGTCTATAAAATTGTTTATAAATTTAAGGATTTTGATTTTCAGAGAGAATCAGCATAAATTTTGATTAATTGTAGAGTGATCTTACTTTCTAAGAAGATTCATGATTAACTTAGATATCATTATTTAAGCCTAGCTCCTCTGATTATTCCTGTCTTGAAACTAGAAAGCGGAAATTTAAATCTTAATTCCATAAACCTCAGCAGTTAAGCTCTCTATTAAGTTTTAAATTCAGATATTGGTTATTTTACATCTTAGGGATTGGATCTTAAACATATAAGAGCATTAAAAATGAATAGGCGTTACGGATAATTATTGCATTTTTTACTTTTAATTAATTATTATTATTTTTTTCACTCTCATAATTGGGTTATTTTATTTTTATTTTGATGGAGATATTATTATTAATGATGGTCTGTTAATTAAGTCAATGATCATATTAATTTAACATTATTTAGGATTCTTATGAAATTTTTATCGTACCTCATAAATTTAGAGTTATATTAATATTAATAGATTGAAAGACTTCTTAGTATTATCTCAAGTAATTAGACAATTGATTCATACAAATGATATAATTATAAATTAAGATGGCAAATAAAATTCAGATAATTTGATAGAATTATTATTAATTAGTAATGAATCATTCTCGTTGTCCTTTTATTTTGACTGATTGTAGTCTTCTTCTTTGCAATCTCAATTACACTTGATCTTCTTATTCTTGTAATGCCCTAAGTAATATGAATATTAGAACTTGTTATGGATTCTTGTAACTCTCTGTGATTCGTAGCCATGAAATTCAAGAAGTTGATTCACTTGCAACTTCTAATCTTGTTCTTTAATGTATTTGAGTTGATTTTCGAGCTCTTATTATTTTTAGGATTTTGAAGGAATATTGACTTTTGGAGATGGGGGAGGGAGGATGTCGTGACCTTAAACATGTTTGGATTTCTTTAATGCAGTTTCGTGTTTTAATTCTTCATATGCAACATTCATGCATTGATTGACAGTTCCTCTCATCAATAACTATTAGGTTTTGTTTTTGAAAATCAAAAACTTATTGCTTTTAATGGATTCGAAATATTCTACTCCGATCTATTTCGATATATGAATAGTACTCGATACAATTCTAGCAATTGATTGACGACCTCTATAGTGACATTATTGCATTCCACTTCCATTTCCAAATATAAAATATTTTCGGCAAAGAATGGAGGCAGAGCTTAGGAATGCTCCCACAACAAGGACTTCTGAGTATCTTATTGGTCGTGCCTTGTATTCATATAATTTAAACAAATTATTAAATTTTGATTGTTATTTATACTCAATGCATTCTGCATACCCCTGGTATGACAGTTTTGTTTTTAAATTAGACCACATAAGCAAATTGCCCTTGGAGCAATTGAATTTTCCAAAACTTGTCCTCCTATACCTGCTTCTGCATTTCCTCATAAGAGAGTTGTTTAAAGATTTCCTCCATCAATAAGTTGGAATCCTTGGGTTTCCACGATCCCAACAAAGTAGTAATATGAGAATGCTTTTAAACATCTTGATATCATACATACTTTATTAGTCAAAGGTATTTAATAATTGTGATTCGAAATGGCTGTCACAATGTTGTTGGGACTAATGGCAATACCATCAATAACCAGTTCTTGCTCCAAGTCCTCCTTGAAGTCAGTGAATGCTTGCAATTTAAAGTTTTTTTAATTGTTGCCCACAAAGAGAGATGTTAGGTGAATGCTAGGAGGAAATTTGTAAATCTGTTTTAGTTGTTTCAGCATATTTTATAACTCTTAATCGTTCTGATATTGCTAGTTTAATAACTAAAGTGCATATTAAGTGAGATTGAATAGGCATTCTTAGGCCATTTATTGATCCTTGGCAAATATTCCTATAAATTGAATATTCTTTTATTTCATATTTATTAATATTAATAAGAATATCGAAAATTAAATTGATATGTCATGCACAATTGGAAACACTTGTTAATGAGATTGAAATTGATGTTCAAATTGATTTTGTTGTGAATGGATGAGAAATGATTAATAGAATAATTTAAAAAAGATAGTGTGATGAAATAAGGAAAAGAGGGTGGTTTAAATATTATTATTAAGATCTTGTATGATTTAAGTGGAACTGTTAATTATTATTAAATGATTCACAATAAATTAAAATGAATACTATAAATGTTATGAGCCTCTTTATGTTGATTTAAATATTGGTCTCCTCTCAATATATTTCAATAGGAGATCAATGCAAATGCTCGGATCTTTCAACTGAATTGGATTGCAATTTAAGAGGAACCTGCCGATGGAATTCTGTCTAAATGTCCTGTTTGGAGTCGAATCAGTTTTAGTCTACCATAGTGTCCACAAGTCCTCTGAAGTAAGTGGAAGCAAAGTCAAGTTCATTATACTGCGATCACTTTAGTCAGATAGAATGTCCTAATTAGAATGGATGTGCTTGGTTTGAAAACAAATGCTTAATGTTCACAGGATGCACTTCATATGTGAAAACCAGCGATGAGGATTGTAAAAAGATATCTAAGGAATGCTTTTCGGATGGTTAAAGATGTGTTGAATTGGATGAATGTAATACCTACACCTACCAAAAATCATGTGTCATAAGTAAGAAGGGGAAATACTGCTATTGGAATACTCAAAACAGGAGGTGCGAATAGGTTAAGGAATGTAATGATCTTCCAAAATTCTTGATTAGTGATTCAGAGTGCAGAACCTAACTTTAATTTTGTATTAACATTAGACTTATTTATAAGGTACAACAAAGTTAGGAGGAGGATGCGTGGAATCAGGGAGTTGTGCTGATGCAGTGAGTGCCGTATCTTGTGTTAGCGATAGACAACAAGGCATGGAATGCTTTTGGGCTGAAGGCAAATGTAGAGACAAAACATGTGAAAATGCCTTAACATCCCTAAAGACAGATGCACAATGTAAGGAGTTCTTGTCACATTGTACAACCAAGTCTAATGGTGGTTGCACACTGAGGTTGAGATGTAGTGATGCTCAGATTGAAGATGCATGTATCAAGGATACTAATGGAAATGATTGCTTTTGGACTGGGGATTAATGTAAAGAGAAATTATGTGAGAATGCTCCACCTTCTTATGTCACTAATCTCCAGTGTTCATATCTATCTAGCAATTGTATCACAAATGGACAAGGATGCACCACAAATCATGGATGCACATCAGCTTTGAAGGAAGAATTCTGTGACAAGGATGCAGAAGGAAATCCATGTATTTGGAGTGGAGTCTTTTGTACTCAGAAGAAATGTGAAGATTCAAATTTTAAAGGGGATGAACTATGCTCTACCTATATGAGTAATTGTATTGGAAAACCAGATGATCAAGTTGGATGCAGAACAAAGACATGTGAAACAGCTGCAAGTGATTTGACTACTAATGAAGATTGTGAAAAATACTTACCTAAATCAAATTGTATTGCTAAAAAATCAGGAGGTTGTACAATCAATACTAGGTGTAATGCCATTGATTTTGAAGGAGCATGTATTAAAGATTCCTAAGGTAATAAATGCTATTGGAATGAGAATGAATAGAAATGCTTAACAGTAACTACTTGTCCTTAGATTACTATCGAATCAAAATGTATTGCAGATTAATTTGGATAGCCTTGTCAATGGGTCGATCAATTTATGAATAATATCAAAGCACAATGTGTAAATAAGTCTTGTTCATCTGGTCCAATGTATCTAAAATCTGAGAAAGAATGCAATGAATATTTCAAATCTAATAACTTACAATGTACTCTAAAAAAAGGAGGTGGTTGTAGAGAAAAAAGTGCTTGTCAAGATGTCGATGTAATTGATGGTTGTACCACAGATAAAGATGGAAACACCTGTCTTTGGGATCAAACGTCATCCAAATGCAGAAGGTAAGTATGCTCAGACTTTACAGAATTAACTTACTTTGGGTGTTCAAAAAAGAGAGCAGATTGCACTATAGGTTTTGGTGGATAATGTGCAGAATTATAAGAATGCTCATCATATTTAAATAAGATGTCTTGTGTAAAAGGCACTGATGGTGTGTGTTTATGGATAGAACACTTTAAGGATGGAAAGGGTGCTTGTTTTTAATTTGATTCTTGTCAAAGTCTTAAATGGTAGACTGATGCAGAGTGTAAATTAGCATCCAGTAGCTGTACTACTGATGGAGAGTAGTGTGTACCAATAACTGAATGTAGAAGCACAAATGTGAATGGAGGATGTGTCACAGGAACAGATGGGGAATGCATTCAAACTGTATCTTCATTGCATTCTACTGAATCCAAAACATGTTCTAAATTCATCAACTGTAGCACTGCCTATTATTTGACGCATGAAGAATGTTAATAGGCTCACTCTTTTTGTACAACCAATGGTGAAACAGGATGCAGAGATTTAACATCATGTGAGCATTACACTGTTAAAGAATCCTGTCATCTTAATAATAAGGGAATATAATTTGATGATTAGGGTTCCTTAATTTCAACTGGTAAATGCGCATGGGATGAATCAAACTAAAATTGTAGAGAATAAGTGTGTTCTGATCTTGTATTCAAAAGTGAAGATGAATGTTCACAAATATTATCAAATTGTACATCAGATGGAGAGAAATGTGTTGAGAAGCAGAGTTGCTAGATGTATATTGATGAAAGTACATGCAATTCAAGAAATGGAATTGATGGACCTTGTTTATGGAATGAGGGAACTTGTCGTATCAAACAATGTCAAGAAATACAACAAGGCACTAATTAAAACACATGCAGTTAAATTAAGGATTGCATTTCCGATGGTGAAAAGTGTGTACTCAAAGACAAATGTGCCAAGTATAACACTAAAGTAGCATGTAATATTTCAGGAGTTGATGGTATTTGTGTCTGGAATGAGAGTTCAAAGACATGTTCAGTTATGAATTCTTGTAATGAGGCAAATACTGATGAAAGTGCATGCAATTCAGCTAATGATAGGTGTCTTTGGAATTCCTCATAGAATGAGTAATCTCGTTGCTCCGAACATACTTGTTTGTCCTATTCTCTCTAGAGTGGCCAATGCCAATATTTCAAGACTTGGAACAATGACAAATATCACATTTGCAAAATGATTCAAGGTAAATGCTCCTAAATTGATGCAACTACTTTGACTGCTGAAGAATGTTATACTTATTCTTTTTATACCTATTCTTGGAGTCCTCTCAGTAACAGATGTATGTAGTGTTCCAGAATCTTGGAGAATGGGTCCAATAATGCGAATTCCACGAATTCAAATAAGACAATATATTAATATATATTGGGATCCATAACGGGATTCTTTGCCTTTGCAGCAGTTTTATGAGTAATGAATAATTATAACATACAACCCAATAAAATTTAGATTCTATAATTATAATTAAAAATGGGAAGTAGTGCTTCATCTAGAATAAATGAGTTCTAAAAAATAGAGGCCGATCTTAAATTGACCACTCTGCCTGAGTTGGATAAAGTATATCGACACTTATCTTATAGCTTTTAATTGTTGCCTAAGATCTTCTTAAATATACTGAGTAACTTCGACAAAGGATTGTATCTTATCATGACTTAATGATGAGGATAGTCAAATTGCAGTCTTACAAAAATGTCACTTTAGTTGATGCCTTCAAAATATGGTATTTGTGTGCTCTTGTGTGCAATGATTCAAAAGGGGACAGTGTTTAATTCGAATGCAAAATTGAGAACTTTGATTAGGAATTCGCATCGGAAAGTCTCAAGAAACTAATGAATTTTGTATGGACTCTCATTTATAAGTAGGGCAGTGTAGTGGCGTTTGCAATTGAAGACAAATTCGTTTAGGATGAGAAAGAGTAACTGATAATTTGTGATACAGGAATCTGCGGAGATTTTAAATTGCAATTGTGGCCATTCCTTTGCTCCTCATTCTTATGTTATTTGAGATCCGCTTACAGATTGGCACCATTTTTAGAAGAGAAAATTAATAGCCAAATAAATTTGATCAGGAAATACTTGGATGTACACAAAGCAGAAAAGTTGACTAAATCTATCAATTAACAAGCTTTGACTCGCCTATGCGAACATTTGAAATATTTTGGCCAACTTGTGGATAGGTATCATTAAGAAGTCAAAACTTTCACCTCAAAATACAAATAAATCATGGTTGAAATGCATCCCTTGAGTTAGGAAGTGTTGAGGCAGGAAGGAAATCAAAATTACATCTTTAATGACGAGTAATCATTTTTAAATATTATTTTTATAGAAGGACCATCTTAAAATCAAAAATATAAGACATCGTGAGAAAATATGCGCCTGAGTATGAACTCAAAGAAACTGCCTTAATGTAAAATGAAATCAGATTGAAACAGTAAAGAAGGAAAGTAAAACCAAAAACCAAGTTGGAAAGAAGAAGAACTGAATAAGCTGCTCTTACATTTCCAACCACTTATCATTGGGTGGGTCATGAATACTTCGACACCTTCTTTTCAGCATAATCATTGACTTTGTCTGAATTGGAGGAATGTCGTGCTCAAGGAGAAGAGGCTAGAAAAAAGTTATTTAAGATCACTGGTGTCAATTAATGGAGAGACAAAACTATTAAAAGTGTTTTTGAATGTCTCACGTGGATGTTGTCTGCTGAGTTGAATAAAAATCTTAAACAATCAGAATTGAAATTACTTAAAGAGGAGCCTTGGATTCATTTCATAGGATAAAAAAAACACAAATTTAATGATATTTCTAGAGACATAGTGACTCATCTAAAAGTATGGTTGAAATATTTCAGTCCAATCAGATATTAAAGAATTTGTAATTATTAGTATAATTTTATAAATATCATTATTTTAGTTAGGACTTTTTAAAAAGACAAAGGGAACTTCAAAAGAATAAGTTTGAATTTCACCATTTAGTCAGAGATCTCCCTCCATAGAATTAATATAATGCACTTTCAAGCTTTACTAAAAACATTAGAGTAAATGAGACTTATATAAGTAAAATTGAAAAGCTTTTTGAAATGACAATAGAAAGCAGTGGAAAAATGGGGGAAGAATTGTATGATAGTTGGTAGGAAATCGTTGATCAAGCTGATTCAATTAAATATTAAATAGGAACTCCATTCAATGAATTCATTAAAGAATTTAGACCGAATACTTTGGCTGAATTGGACCAATTATAAAATAGAAAAGCAGAAAGAAAATAAACTAAGTTATCGATTGCCTGTATTGAAATTTGATATTAATCATATATCTTATTTATTTTTCTTATATATTTATTTCTCTGATGATAAATCAAACATTTGAGAATTATGAGTTAATTAAATTTTAACATTTGAGAATAATCAAATTTAGGATTTATTACTAGTTATTATATTAAGTGAATAATAGTTTTTAATATGTTTTAGTAATAAATATTCAATAATTTTCAAATCTATCAAACTCTAAAATTGGTTTTATCCTTTTCTTTCTGTATGGAAGGACTTTTTTCTATTGAAGGTCTTGGATTATTTACATTAATTTTTTTAAGCATCTAAGTATAGTAATTCTTTAATTAGGGAGTCGATAATTCAACGATGCTTTTATTGCACATTTATTGTCTTTTTGGCGTAGTACTTCTGGAGGGTGTCTTATTTTCAACACCTCCTCTGGAATATCCTGAGGTTTGGGATTTTGTATCTATTGATAAATTTTTGGAATGATTAGATTGCTCTTTGCTCTTTTGCAAGGATTTATAATGTTATACACAAAATTGAAGTACTTTTTAATCTTTGTTTGTAGTAGTTTGTAGATTGAAAAAGACCATTTTAAATATTTCTAGGATTTCTTCTAACTTGACCTCCTGGGAAACAAATATGTTTTGCAAATAATGATAATGTAAGCACACGTAAAAGAGGCTTTTCAACTATTCTGAGAATTTATCTGAACGTTAGCAAATTTCCTCTATGTTGTGTAACTCGTCTAGTTGACACTGATACTTTTCCTTTTGTTTCTATTTCAAATCATAATTGATTCCTTTAAATTGTTGCAAGCTTGTCAACTACTTCTAATAGTACTATATTTTGTTCTGTATTTATTTCAGATATTCATTCTCATTCTTTTCCATTTTGATTTTCACAATTGCCTCGAGAGTGTCTTTGTTTATTTGGATATCATGTGTGATCAGAAACTGCTGTAACTTCTTTTTATTCTTTTCGCTCTGTTCACCGAATATAATCAATTTATTATTATTCATAATATATTAAATTAATGCATTGGAACATGAGCCTTCTGATCTTCTTCTTCTCCACACATCCCTTGTCTATTTATCAATACCTTGTAGACCATTCCACACACTTAGCATTGGTTCTCCTTGTTTATTTTCATTATTTCAATCAATTTCTTTTGCACACTTTCATAAGTTTGAACATACAACTAATACAAAGGAACCAGCTAATCATTATTAGTAACCAATAATACATACTCCATGTTGATTCAATTAATCCATCTTATCCTTTGGCAACAACAACACCAAGTTGTCAGTGTAACTGAAAAATGGATTTTTCTTCGCTTTAAAACACTATTGGAGGTTTCCATACTATTTCCTGTGCATGTTCACTGGATGCTTTGGAGGAAGCTTTTGCATGGCAGTAACTATATCATTGCTTGCCATTTGCAATCTAATTGAATTCTATTTGCAAATAATTTCCATTAAAAATTCATAGAAGTCCTTTTCCCAATCCATTTAATTAATAGTTTTTTAATAATTTTATTAATCATCAAATAAAATCAATTTCAACTTAAAATATCCATTATCTTAGAAATATAGGACAGTTTAATTTATTAAAAAACACTAATTTGTTAAAATCTTATTGTTTGCATTTAAATTGTATCTTCATGAAACTTAATAGATGAAGTATTATTTTTGTTTAGAATTATTTCATATGTTATATTTTTTAATCATTTTTTGATTTTAATTTCCTGCTTCTTCTCTTTTTGATTTAATATACTATATAAATCTATGAAAGAACCTTACCTATAATCTTACAGAATAAATATTAAGCATAAGCAGATGGAGCCTTGCATTCATCCAGATTTAGATAATAATAATGTAATAACTAAAAACCTACAATTTGGCTTGAAATTTATTAAAATAAGAATTTTTATTATTATTTCATAAAATGTTATAAAACTCTTGATCATTTCTAGAAGTATTAAGGCGAAACAAGATATCATTTATTAAATTAAAAATGATAACTGTCATAAGGTAGATAAAAGCTCAGTATCTAATTTACTAATCCATTTTGTAAATTAAAATATTATTTTCAAAATTGACTACAATATTAAGACTGTTGGAATAGCATTAAAACTCAGATTCAGTATCGGGTTTGAGAGCAAAAATGTTAAAATAATTTCAGATTACCTAAATCCAATATATAAATTGAGAAAATTTTATACTAAAAACAAAAATTTTTATCAATAATGATGATGAAGTATATTTATTGAATTGTATTTAATATTGGGTGTGTATTTTGTGATTAATTTTCGTTTGTGCACATAAAGACAGGCAGTTACTTGGATTAAAATTGTCAAATTTATATAATCGATAAGAATATTAATTATTTAGTAGTATTTGTATGTTATTTTATTTTGGTTGAATGTTGTTCTAAAATATGCTATATATATTTTATTTTACATAAAATCTTTATTGAGAGATGTTAGATGTAATAATGAAAATAATCATAAATAGAAAAAAGACCAGAGCAAGTTCTAAAATTTTCTACTTTAATTGAAAGCCTTAGTTGATTCATTTTTGCTTCCAAGCCCAGAACCAGAGGAATAACCCAAGACATAGGTCACGAAGGCAAAAAAATAAAAAAAACAAAAAGATCCTCTAGCTCCAAAAATGCCTAAATCGGCCTTCATTTATTACTTTCAGGACAAGAAGGACAAATTTCAATCATAATATCCAAGTCTTTATTACATGTAAAACTAGATTTACAATTTTAAGAGATCACAAAATTGATCGCTAGTGAATGGAAAGATTTGCCGAAGGAAATCCAACAGGTATCTTTACAAAAAAATAATTAGCAATATCACGATCAAGCAGAATAAGATAGAAACCGCTACTCTTAGGAGCAGGAGTTATATCATTCACAAACAGGGAAATAAGTAAATGGGAAGAGTCAAGCGAAAGCGAATAAATCGAGTGCGAAAAAAGAGAAAATTATAAAAATTGTTGATCAAGATGAAGACAACGATTCTTTTGGCGCAGACATTGGCCAGGACTGATATCTATATAGGAATATTTTAAAAATAAAATTGATCTAAATATTCGAAGGAAATAGTCAATTTTTATTAAATACTTAGTGCCTAATAAATTATAAGATATTGTTCCCTTTAAATCAGCTTATTTTTTAGTTATTACTTAAACCACTTTATAATTATCATTCCATTATATTATTTTTTTGAATTTTAAAAAATCTTTATCAAAATTCAGATGGACGTAAAGATAGGAAGATCGTTTAAATTAACAAAGAAATTGGGTTCAGGCGCTTTTGGAGAAATATTTCACGGAATCAATCTTAAAACAAACATGGAAGTGGCAGTTAAACTTGAACCTGTCAACACTAAGCATCCACAACTGTTTTATGAAGGAAAATTATACTAATACTTGTTACAAGAACCCTCAGTTATTGATAAAGGAATTCCAAATGTTTACTATTGTGCAACAGAGGGTATTTATTTTTAGTATATTTAAGGTGAATATAATATCATGGTTATGGATCTCTTAGGTCCATCTTTGGAAGATCTATTCAATTTATGCGGCAGGAAGTTTTCACTTAAGTCAGTATTAATGTTGGCTGATCAAATGATTTAAAGAATTGAATATGTTCATTCTAGACACTTTTTGCATCGAGATATTAAACCAGACAACTTTCTAATTGGAACGGGAAAAAGGTAATTTGTATTAAAATTTAAATAGAGCTCATAAAGTGTACATAATTGATTTTGGACTAGCAAAGAGATATATTTAAAAGGATGGAAAACACATTCCCTACAAAGAGGGTAAAAACTTAACAGGAACAGCCCGTTACGCCTCTATCAACACTCATCTTGGCATTGAATAAGTAAAAATAGTATTTAAAACATTAGGGAAGAAGAGACGATCTTGAATCACTTGGCTACGTGATGATGTACTTTTTGAGGGGATCTCTTCCATGGTAAAACCTCAAGGCTTCCAACAAAAAAGATAAATATGAAAAGATTATGGAAAAAAAGATATCAACATCAATAGAAACATTGTGCAAAGGATTTCCATAAGAATTAGCTACTTACTTAACTTATGTAAGAAATCTGAGATTTGATGAAAAACCAGATTACAGTTACTTAAGAACTCTATTAAAGGACTTATTCACCAAGAGTGGATTTGAAATGGACTATATTTATGATTGGAATCTAATATAGAAAGTAGAAGGAGCTCCTGGACAAACCGCAAATAATTCTTAACCATAGGCACCTGGTTAAGTACCCCCCAAATAAGGTTGATTATCAACCTTAAAGATTATTATATATATATATATAAAAATATTATAAAAGAAATATGAACCCATTTCTCTCATTTTTATTATGAAATGAGTTCCAGAAGATCAAAGGATAATTTGGAAGAATTATTCAAGTTTAAACGGCTAATTTTGCATTTCAATTCTGTTGCCAGTGATATCATTCAAATAGCAGATATTACCTTGACATCTTTACTATATAATCTAATTTTAGATTTAGGAGATTTTATTATTATTATTTTTAAATAATGTTATTATTCCTGAGAATTCTAGTTATTATTTAATTGTAGAATTAATTGAAAATATATGATTAATATCATAGATCAAAGTAATCACATGTATAAATCCTTTACGACTTACTATTCCCACAAATATTGATTTTACTCATTTCAGGGTATTTCTAATTGTTGCTGTGTATTATTGCACCATTTTGAAAACATTACTGGTAAAGAGAGAAAGCAAACTTATTAACTTCATTTAGTGTAATAAATTGGTTATAATAATTTTATATTATGCAAGTTAATTAAAATGAAGAGTTTTATCTCAGATATTAGTATAAATAATTATTTACTTTAGTGTTGGACACAAAGGTGTTTATGGACATGAGTTTCTTGAGTTCGAATTCAGGAAATGATGGTAGATTGAGATATGCAAACAACTCAAATTACAAATCAGATGTTTTAATCAGAAAGGAATGTTATGTTTCAGATGCAATACTCACTGAGATTAAACGCATTATAGAAGAGTCAGAAATTGTCAAGTATTACAATGCATTGAGTATTCAGGGAAAATGATTCTAAATGGCCTGCACCTGATAAAATTGGGAGATAAGAATTAGAGATTAAACTTGGAAATAATCATATTTCATTTACTACATCAAAGCTAGGATCAATACAAGATGTACAAAACAGCTAAGACCCTGATGGGCTGAGAGTGTTTTTCTACTTGGTTCAAGATTTAAAATGTTTTATCTTTTCTTTAATCGGCCTCCATTTTAGAGTATTATTCTAGCCTAATATTATTAGATAAAGCCAGTCAATTGAGCATTATTGTATATTATATATCATATAAGTTAATATTAAAAAAATGATCAGAGATTGTTCACACTTAACAAATCAGCATGACTAAACTAAGTCCGCCCGTTACTTTGTCATCATTTTATAATAATTTAAATATCCATTCAGGTGAATGTAGGAGTATAATCACAAGATCATAACCCAGTGCTTGTTTTCATCATTAAATAATTTAAATAAATTATTGAAATTATTTGTTTAAAATTATGGTTATGACTATTAGATAAATTTTATTGATTAGAATATATGAAGTTTTTTATATTCAAGTCTTGATTGTCTTTTTGATTAGCTTATTATAATGAAGAGCGAATTTTTTGATATTTTATATATTGTGAGTTGTTAAACTACTAAAACAAGCAAGCAAGCAAATATACATATGTATTTCAATATGGCAAATATAATATTATTGTATTACTATTTGATTGATTATTCAATTTTTGGAACAGGTACAATTATTATTATTCATTTCAGAAAGAATAATAATTCATATATATATTACTTTCTTCATATAATAATCTATAAATACAAAAAAGAGTTCTTTTTTTGAGTAATAAGTATTGATACCACATCCAATAACGAGTATACAAGTTATCCTTCTAAATCTGTTGTACAATAGCAAAAAATTGACAAATGAGATCAGATTTAGTGTATATCAAAATTTGATGGGTATTGAACAAAATAATAAATAGATTTTTAATATCTCATATTTTCAATTACTGTGTGAAGATGGATTATAATTTTAATGAAGGAATCTAGATTATATAAAGATAGAGAAGATGGTTAGATGCCACTTAATAAATCACAGTAACTTATGGTGAAGGAGAGATTAAAAGCTCATTAGCAAATTTAGTTGTCTGAATTAAAAAATGAACAACTCTAGTATATGAAGGAGAGAGCATATTGGACGATTGGAGAGGAAGTGATATTGTTAAAGTATGTAAAAAGTCACGATGGACAGCTGTGGAATTGGGATGGATTGAAATAAAAGTTAAGAAAAAAAGATGGAAATGATTGTCAAAAAAGATATGATGAAATAAGAAGACCATAGGATGGAGAATACGAGAAGCCCGAGACTCCTATTGATAAAAGTTGGGATTAGAAAAAGGAGAGCATTTTGTTATATTGCTATATGAAATATCAAGGTCAATGGGGAAAGATCTAAAAAAGAATCAACGAATTTAGCATTTAAGAGTTACAAGAGAAGTTAGCTGAGGTAATCAAATATTTTAAGTTTTTAGATATAAAGTGCAAGAAGGTTGAACAATTAATGGAATATATTTGGAGACTTTTAATTATTAGAAGGAATAATGAAGAATAAGAAACTATAGGAACTAGAAGGCTAATTGGGCAAGAATTAAGAAGAAATAACCAATCATGTTAAGGAAATTTTGGAAGATTTAGGAAAGAAATTCAGGATAACAGAAAATGATTACGTGAGTGACAAATCAGAGGATTCCGAATAGATTCGAGAAAGAATCCAAATTGTAAGTAGCAATAATAGTGAAGGAAGTGGATACAATAGCTCAGATAATTGAATTGATAGTTTAATATCTATTATATATGAAATCAACTTATGATTTATAGATTAATATATTTTTATTTAATTTTATTTTCATTACAAATAGAGATCCTAATCATTCTCTTAAGATGTCATCAAATGGAATTTTATTATTTGTTTATTTTATCTAAATTAACACCATAATTTATTATACTACTATAATTGAAGTATCTAACTATTTACATCATTCGCTTGAGTTTATAGAGTAAAATCTCAATGCCTTGAACTCTCAACATTATAAAAACATTATTTTAAAAATATATAATATTTATTTATATGTAATTTCAATTGATGCAAGAAATATAAAGAATTTTTAACGCAAAAATGTGATATTATCTCAGTAAATCAATTGCAATTGCTGTCAAAACGAGAACAATTGTAAGTGACATAAAACTTTGATGTGTATAATAATTATTATCCAATTCATAGAATTCATGACGAAATTTTAGAGAATTAAAGGTCTTTTGAATTTAGGTATTATTATTCAGCAGAACTTAGAGTAAAAGGTTTGCTAATGAATTCAATCGGATCTTGAAATAATAAGATTACATACTTTTGCCTTAAGTTAGTAAGTAATATTGAAATTCGATTCCCAAAGCGATCTTAAATATGTCTATATAGAAGCTCATGGTAAAGATTTTTTAGTTATTTTTGCTATCTTTTTTGTTTCTCAATCTTTTTTGTATGGAATCATGATTGCTCATGAGGATTACGATGGAAGTCATGGAATCGGTTTGCAGGAGAAATGAAATTTTCCTTTTCTCCCATATATTTTCTATAATAACGAATTATTTAATACTAATGGTCATGGCTAGATCCTTGTTCCAATTTAAAATCCTATTTGGACCTTTCTCCCATTAAATGGAGCTTTAACCCTAGAGAAAATAGTCTCCGATAGCATATTTGTATTCAAAAGGGGTTTGAAATACATCACATGATATTTACCACTTAGAATCCTTAAATTTTACTGATACAATTTACCTAAATACAAGTCATACGACACATTCTATCAACAACCCAGTTGGATTGAGAATTGGCTAAGTATAAAGCTTATCCGTACTTGAGTAAGATGTCTAAATTGAATTCAACTAAGGGCATTGAAGACAAGTTAATTATTAATTTAATTAAAAAGTCTTTTACGAATTCAAATTCAATTTAACCCTACTGTCAACTTGTATTAGTACGCTAGGATCTTAAACAATAGCAATTCTACAAAGCACTTTACTTAATAATAAAAACGGAATTATTTACTAATCCTTGTTTTTAAATTAAATTTCGATGGAAAATAAAATATAATCTCACTAAATCTAACGTAATTGCAATTTAGTATTTGTTTGAATTATATAAAAATTATTTGGGAATAATTAAATTTCTCTGAAATTGATTAACAAAAGCAACTCCTTAACATATGTTGGTTAAACTATTAGAAGTGTAAAGTTTTATCTTGCTATTAATTAAAATAACAACACTTTTATAAAATGGTTAAATAATATCAATATTGATTTTTCAATAAATTTTATCTAACTTTAAAATTTAATTATATAATTGTATACATATAATATTTGAGAATTGATTTCTAAATTTTTAAATTGATAAATGTAAAAATGAAATAAAGGTCATTAGAAACTATTCATTTTCACAAGGGAGGGAGCTTGAGTGTACTTTTTAAAGCTTTCGTTGGAGTATTTTTCCTGGATTTGGGGGATTTGGAAGTCGTCTCTTTGCTCTTCTTGTTTTTCTTGGATAGGGGATTGGCAGATGTTGTTGTTGATGGTTTTCTTTCCTTTGATTTTTTCAGAGGAGAGATAGGAGTCAAAGGGTTTGAGTTCGTACATCTCTTGAATCATATTTTTAATTTCAGCAATATATTTATGCTAATTATAAAATTCCACATTGTACTTTTTATTCGATTGAACTGATTTTATTATAATGGATGATTTATAGTGTGGCTTCATTCTGGAGGAAGGAGATGAAAAGGTCTTTGAGTAAATTCTTGCAGAGCTTGGACTCTTTGGGTTCATTGACTTAAACTTGAAAGCACCTTTGCAAGTCTCCTAATTCGAATCGTTGTTGTTTGGAGGTCTAGATAAGGATAGGATGGGAGAGTACTTTTGATTCTTGAACGTTTTGTAGATACTTGTAGGCAGCATCTTGTTCCATCATTTTGGCCCACTTCTTGAAACGAGACAGGAAGAAATGAGGGATACGCCTAGGGAGTAGGGAGTATATTGGGATACCTTCTAAAGTCCTGATCCTCCTTGATGTCTGGGTTCGGGTAGGGATGGGAAACATTGTTGGATTTCTCAGAGTCGGAATTGACTGAGGATAATTGGGGGATGCAATACCGCGTATTTTTCTAGAGGAGGGTTGTTGAGGGTTGAGTTATTGTTTGATGTCGTCGTGAAACCTTTGGATGATGGAGAGAGCGTTGGCAAACGAGTTGAATTGATCCTCATCTGCCTCCAGGATGATTTTTTTGTTTTTTTGTTCAAGGACCTAGAGAGATAAAGATAAGTGTGAGATAAAGTACACGATATTTGAAGAGAGAAGGCTCATTGTTGGTTTTCATTTATTATAATTAATGAGAATGCGTAATTAGATTGCTGTATTCATCAGGGGGTCTTGGCTTTGAGGACTTGGATGATTTCATGGTATATCTGCAAAGGTATAATGTCAATACGATTTTGCCCAATCCGGGCTTATATTTCTCTATCTTCCTGAAAGTACGCTTAATCTTCAAGGTTTCTTCTTTGAGTGATTCGTCATCCTCTCGTATCGGTGTTCCACTGGCATCTAACTTGAGGGAAGTGACAACTCGATTGTGTGTGTAGTTGAGAGTTTCGCAACTGGCCTATTGTTGTTCTCCACTCAGCATCCCAGCCCTTTCAAGCAACTCAAACAGCAACTGAGTTTTTTTGGCATTCCTAATGAAGGGATGAGTAAGCAACTAAACAGCAGTCGGTCTCAGACGAGGATCTCGTTGCAGACACTAATGCACAAAATCGATCATCTCATTTGGATAATCCCCACTCAATCTTGGAGGCTGTTGGACTATTTTGAAGATCACCTTCTATGGAGGCACATCCTCATAAGGTATCTTGGAAGTGATTAATTCGAATGCAGTGATACCAATGGCCCAGATGTCAGTTTTCTGATCAGTCAAAGAGGATTGAATGGTCTAATAGAATGAGTTCTCTTACTTCTGGAGCCATCCAATAGGGGAGACTGAGGATATGGGACTGCGATTTATTGATGGTATCGGCAAACTCCTTATTGGTGGAGAAATAGGAGAGTTTGACTTTGGCTTCTTGGGAAAGGAAGAGATTGGCAGCTAAAAAGGAGATTTAGGGTAAAAATAAAACTCACATTTAATATGTCTATGCACAAGACCTTCCTAATGGATCTCCTATACGCCAAGCAAAAGTTCTCTTATGATCACTTGCACATATTGTGTCTCCAAAGTCTGTTTGTTGATCTTGAACAAATGAATCAAATCCTTCAATGATCCCCCAGCAAAGTATTCCATCACTATAAAGAGTTTGCCATCTTGTCCAAAACACTTATCGACCAAGCATATGTTTCTGAAGGGTTTAGTGCGGTAGGTCTAGACAGCCTGAGCCAATTCTGCCTGATTGACCAAATTGATGACTTTGATGGCTACGATGAGTCCTGTCTTCTTGTCCAAACTTGAATGATAGGATTGTGAGATTACGCCTTGTAAACAGTGGAGTAGTCTGTACGGTCGAGGGCGCAAAGAATATCATAATCTTCGATTGAATGTATTTAGTGATCCAGACTAATGAAATTCATAATTACATACAAAATAAATCAATGATATTATGCTATATATGTACAGTCCATACCAAACTCAACTCATTAAATGAAATAAGCTTTAATTTTCAAACATGAATCCCCCAACGTCAAAGCTGATTTCCACGAGAATGATACCAAAGACCCTATCAAGATCCTGCAATCCATTTATGATCAATATGATGCCTTGTTTGTCGAGGAAATCATACTCGAAGAACTCGACATACCTGAGATCACTCCTGAATTGAGGGACAAACTCCAAGAGTTTCCGAATGTTCACAGTTTTGGCATCAATAGATGTGGATTACAAAGTCTAACCAATTTTCCATCCTTCAAACATTTGGTCAGGTTCTAAGCAGATGGCAATCTCATCAAGGCTAAACAGATCGGGTATTTGAAGAAGTACACGGAATTGCGTTCTATTTCTTTGATTTGCAATCAGATTGATGACCCGAAAACCATGATCAAATATTTGAAGGAAATGAAAATTACTCAACTTAATTTATATGGGAATCCAATGCAGGATTACTTCAAGTTGTTCTTTGACGAAATACCCTCCTTGATTTACTTGGACAATCTGCAGAAGACTGGGGCTGAGGTCTATTACGATTATGATGACACGAATGAGCTGAGTAAGCAGGATGGTTACATCTGTCCGAATTACAAGGAGTACAAGAGTTGATAATTATGGAATTCATAAATTAATTAATTATATGGCTTATAATAACGATTCCCAGGACTTCTTGCCGGATGACTAAGATGAATTCGCTATGAGAATGCCTGTCAAGAGTCATTTGTAGAGGTTGGATGTAAGTCAGTCTGCTAAACGTAGCAATTACTACAATAGTTAATGGAGGAGTTGGATATGGTGAAAAAGGAGAAGGAGTAATTGCGCAATAATTTAATTGAGTTGTCTCAAAAGACCTCGGATTCGTTTGATGATGCAAATAAATATCTGAATGAGGAATATCGAAGATTGATGCAGGAGTTTCATGAATAGAATGCATTGCAATTGGAACAACATCAATTTCTGAAATAATAGGTCGATTCAATAAATTAGGACAGAATTAAATTATAGCAAAATACTATTGTACTTGAGAACAGAGTTTAAGATGCCGAAAAAGAATTGGGATTTGTTTGATAATTAGATTATATTAATAATGAATTTTAAACTAACTATCTTCCTTTCTTTACTTACCTTACATTAAGCAACCAGATTTTCAACTATTAAATGCACTTGCGAACAATTACTATCCCAAAACGATTGTCAGACCAATAAATGTACATGGGACCAAAACAAATGCGTTATTAATATAGATACACCTGTGGAAATTAGTCCAATCGTCACTTATTGCACATATTTTGAGGATTTGGTTTGTTAATAATAGAACGGTTGTGCATGGATTGATAAACAATGCCTTCCATTCACAGGTTGTACTGCCTATTCATTCACAGGATAAGAGGATTGCCAATATATTTCAAATAGATGTATATCAGACGGAGTGCATTGTATTGAAATCGGATTGTGTTAAGATTATAAAACAGAGATAGGATGTGTAAAGAATAAAAATAATAAACTATGTTATTGGAATGTAGATAAGTGTTAAGATATTTAAGAGTGTTCTCAAATATCAAAAACTCTATAAAGTGATTCAGAATGTAGATCTCAATTGACAAAATGTACAGTAGCATAATAAGGTGGTTGTGTGGACAGTGGAGATGCATGTTCAAATCAGAAACTGGAGATTCAATGTGTTTGGGATAAAAGTAAATAGTAATCCTGTGCATGGATCAATGAGAAATGTGTGAGTAGAATATGTTCAAATACACCTGCAACCTATACTACATTCGAGTAATGCAATACTTATCTGCCTACTTGCACTGTTCAATTGAATGGTGGATGTGTGAATATCAGTTCCTGTGAGAATATTAAGGTTGAGATGGGTTGTGTTATGAATATGAATAAACAGCCATGTATTTGGATTGAGAACACGTGCATAGATAAGTAATGTTCAAAGGCTCCTGCAAAATTCGATACAAATGAAAAATGCAAGAAAATAAATAGCAATTGTGTGACTACATAGAATGGATGCGTGGAATAGTTAAATTGTGAATCTTCAAAGCTGTAAATAGGATGTGTGGATATGGTGGATGGTACTAAATGTTATTGGAATGGATCTAAATGTGTTTAAAAGACATGTTCGAACAACACCACCATAAAGACAGAAGCTGAGTGTCAATTGTATTCTAGTGGTTGCATTTTGAATGTAACAGCTTAGAGTGGATGTCTCGACAAGATTTGTGAGAATGTTGTACAATAGGAGTAATGTGTAGTGGATAAGTCCAACAATAAGTGTTCTTGGAAGAGTACTTGTTTTACTAAGAGTTGCAATACTGCTCCGAAGACTTTTACAACAAGCAACGAATGCAAATCTCACATGAATACTTGTGTCTTAGATACCTCAGGACAGGGTTGCATGACTATTAGGTTAACATGCCAGGCCTATACATCAGAGAAGTCATGTTTCATGATAAAAGGTGGGTAGTATTGTCATTGGCAGGACAAGAAATGCATTGATAGGACTTGTAGTATGGCTAGTGTGAGTTTGAATAGTAGTCAGCAATGTCAATAGTTCAAACCGGATTGCATAGTGGGTAACAATTCCCAAGGATGCATGGATTTGACTAAGAATTGCGAGGATAGAAGATTACAGGCTAATTGTGAGTATGGTGATAAACCAGTGTGTATTTGGAATGTGACTAGATGTGTTTAGTAATCATGTGAAAGTGCGAGTGTTGTTGGATCACCAAATTATTTGTCTGTTTTTGATTAGTCGTCTTGTCTGTCTTATATGGATAATTGTATACCGAACAACTTGGGTAATGGATGTACAGCTAAACCTTCATCTTGTACTCAATTAAGTATCAATAATTGTATTGCTGCTCAATCTAATGATTGCATCTGGGTGAATGGACAATGCAGAGACAAAATATGTATAAATCTGATTGGATCCTCTCATCAAGAATGCTCGAATGAATTGTCCAGTTGTACAGTAAATGTAAGTCTAAATGGCTGCATTTCATTGTCAGCTAAATGTTCATCTTACACTGTATCACAATAATGTCATTTAACATCTACTAGTGTGTAATGCTTTTGGAATGGTACTCAATGCAGAGATGCTATTTGTAGTGATGCCTCTGATTCATCAGATTATGATACACATGAGGAATGTAATGCACTCAATTCCTCATGCACTGTTGTGAGTAAGGTTGGATAGTAAGGATGTGTGGAGAAGTACTCGACTTGTGAGAGTTATAAGTAATCATACCAATGTCATCAATCTTCGAATTCTGTCCAATGCCTTTGGATTAATGATGGTTGCTATTAGGTCTCCAGTTTGACATGTGGAGATATCAAAATACCCATCTATAATGATGCCAATTGCAGTAGCATTTTACCCAATTGCAAATCGAATGTTACTCAAACTGGGTGTATTAGTAAGGCATGCACAGATTACAGTTATACAAATAAGGTTGATTGTGAAGCATTGAGTGGATGCACTATTAATGCTGATCTCAATAAATGCATTACTAAATAGGATTCATGTTCAGCATATAGTTCTGATCCCACTTAATGCAAATACTCCAAAGAAGGAAACTGTGTAATGAAGGGTCTAACTTGTGTGTGGACTCATTTGGATTGTGCCTCTATTTCAACTCCAGTTGTTGATAACGATTGCTTTGTCAAGAGATCATTCTGTAAGATGTTAGTGACTGATCAAGGGAACAAATGCATTGCAAGAGATTGCACTGAATATGCTGATGTCACTCCAACCTCATTTAGCATCTGTTAAGAATATGATTATTCTTGTGTCAACAATAGAAACAACAATGGATGTATTACTATGCAATAGTACTGTAGTGATGCAGGAGATGCTGCATGTGTTTATTCAAAAAAGGAAGGACTTTGCAAATACACTGGCTCTGTCTGTGTGGCTGTTGCTACTGCCAATACTAAAAATTGTAATTTAGTTGTAGAGGCTGGACTTACCTTTAAGAAATGTTAAGATTACTCCAACAATTATTGCAGTGTCAATAGAGCCAATTCTGCCTGTGTCAATATCAAAGCATAATGTTCGGAATATACCAATTTATCTGATTGCCATTCCTCATCATCTGGCATGTGCATTCAAACTCAATAGAATGATAGTGGAGCATCCTGCACTAATGTCACCAGCTCTGTTTTATGTAGTAAGTTATTTATTGGATAATCCTCTACTTACACTCATGAAATCTGTGAATCATTGAAGAATACTTGCACCAATAATTCAAATTCCAGTTGCAAAGACAAAACTTGTTTGAATACAAATACTGCACTCACTACTCATGCTTAATGCAATGCCTGGCTGAAAACATGCACTGTCAATACTACCAATAATGGATGTGTCGAGATGAAGCAAACTTGTCTAGAATAAAGTGTCACTGCCTGTTTATAGGCGAGTGAAGGTTCATGCATTGTTTATGATAATAAATGCATGAAATTTACTTGCTAGAAATTACCCAACACTTTAACAACACATTCTCAATGTGAAACATAGAATAATTAATGCACTGTTGCCACTTTTGGAGGGTGCATTGTCAAATCTAGCAATTGCAATACCTACAAAACATAATTACAATGTAGTTTCAATCTAGATGATAAGAAATGCTGGTGGAATCAATACAATATGACATGTGTCAATCTATAGTGTGATCTTATTGAATAGACTACCGATTACAATACTCACAGTAAATGTTATAATGCATCTACAAACATAAAATGCACAGTATCATCCAGTGGAAGTGGCTGTCAACAATTGAAAGTATGTACTGATTACACATTTCAAGGACAGTGTGTCATTGATAAATATAATAAACCTTGTGTTTGGAATGACAATGTGACTCCCAGTGTCTGTTAATTGAAATCCTGTGAGGCTGCATCATACACATTCACAACTCACGATGAATGCTAAGCATTCGATTCAACCTGCACACTGTAAACCAAATACAACTCTGATACTTCCACTCAAATAAACAGTGGATGTTAGATACTAAGCATAAATTGTTCTGATTATTAATTTGAATAACAATGTTACTTGAATAAGAGTAACAAATAATGTAAATGGGTGGACAATCTATGTATAGATTTCGGTTGCAAAACTGCTCCTAAGACTTCAGATTATTCTACTCATGAGAATTGTTAATCCTATCTGAATACATGCACTGTCAACTATGATTTGTTGGGTTGTTTGACTATACCTACTACCTGCTCGGATATTTTCTATCAAGTACAATGTTTCAAGGATATCAATAATAATGAATGCTATTGGTTTGATTCAAAATGTCAGCAAAAAAAATGCGAAAATGCTCCAAGTAATATTAATACTAAGTTATTATGTGAATAATGGCTACCTTAGTGCACTGCTGAAGATATTAGTAAATGTAAAACCATCACCTGTGAAGACTACACCTATACCACTGATTTAGAATGCAGATAATAGATTTCTAATTGCACTACTGATGGAACTAAATGTGTGACGAAAGGATCATGTGCTGAAGCATTAAGTGAAATTGGGTGTGATAAATCAATCAATAATGAACAATGTTATTGGAACAAGACCTATTGTACTTTGAAGGTATGCAATCTAGTAACCAAAGAAGTCGATTGCACTAATAGTTATAACAATATTATATGTGTTTGGGACAACAATAAATGTAGAAACATAGGAGAATGCTATGATTACAATGGTACATCCCATAAAGAATGTTAAGCCTTCAATACATTATGTACCTTTGATGATAACAAAAAATGTAGAAAGTTAAGAAAATGCAATGAATATTCAAAATAAGACTACTGCATTTTGGGTTTGGATGGACCATGTCTATGGATTGAACAATTAAATATTTGCCATTAATACACATCTTGCAATAGTGTTAAGTTTTAGACGCATATTGAATGTTAATAGGTCTCAAAATAATGCACTACAGATGGCTTATAATGTGTCCCTCTTACTCTTTGTTCTGAAACTAATACCACTGGAGGTTGTATTGATGGCATTGATGGAAGTTGTATGCAAACAGTTGCTGCTTTGAATTCAACTCAATCACCAATTTGTAAACTCTTCACAAGTTGTGTAGAAGCTTACTATTTAACCCACATTGAATGCCAGTATGCCAATAAAAATTGCACAACTAATGCTGTCAGTGGTTGTATTAATCTGAATCAATGCACTTAATATCAGAGACAGGAATCCTGTTAATTAGACATTAATGGAGTATAATATCAAGACAACCTCATCATAGCCACAGGGAAATGCATTTGGGATAATGGGCTATGCAGAGGTTAAATCTGCTCTGACTTTAGTGGTATTACTAATGAACAATGCAACAAGTTCCTTTCGACTTGCACCTTCAATGGTGTTAAATGTATTCCCAAATAAAACTGTTATTAATATACTTCATCAGCTATGTGTGCAGTTGCATATGGACTAGAGGGTAAATGTAACTGGAACATTGCCCTTGATAAATGTTTAAAGCTGACTTGCGATGATATTTAAAATGGAATCACTTAGGCCTTATGTTAAAATACCTTATCCAATTGTATCACCAATGGGGTCAATTGCATTAGTAAAGATACTTGCTCTAGATACATCACTAAAATTGCTTGCAATGTAGGAGGAACAGATGGCATTTGTGTATGGAATGCTAAAAATTCTTCATGTTCCTTGATGTTGTCATGCACTTAGGCAGATGATGATTAAGAAGCTTGTCTATAGGCTAGTGATCGATGTGCTATCAAATATGCTACAAGTCAATCCACCAGTTCTTGTTATTCACACACTTGTGATACTTATCTAAATAGTAATGGCTTATGCAAATCGTTCAACAATTGGAATTACTCTTCCAAAACAGCATGCTCCTTTACTTAAGGTAAATGCACTGAAATTGATCTCTCCACTCTTACCGAATAATAATGCTTTACTACTTCAGAGTACTCCTATACTTGGAATACCAGTAAAAATAAATGCTAATCCTGTGTCGCACAAAATAATAACAATAATAACTCTAATTAAACAAATACAAATCCCAATGTTACCACACCATCTTAGAATGTTGACTTCGGATATATGATACAAACTGTAATGTATCTCTATTTGATTTCTAATTGATCTATTCATTTTTAATTAAATTATCCATATCTACTAATTTATCACATTGAATATAATTAAAAGATTTTAATGCTCGCACATAAAATGTAAATTCAAGCATATCTTGTTATCTTGCTTAACAACTCTAATTGATTGAATCCACTTAATTCGAATACTTGTGTGCTCGAAATATCAAATCAATTCAATCCATATTATATTTTTATTAGTTCATTATTTATGTCTCCATCGTATTCAATCTTCTATGAAATATCTTGGAGTACATGACTTTTTTATACAGTTTTTATTGAATAATTAAAAATGGCAGATTTGAAGATTGAATATAGGTAAATAAATAATAAAGGAAATGGAAATAATAATAGTTGATATTTGTATTGAATATGTATATAAAATATATAATTAATTATAAATTGTATTTGTATAATTCTATTATGAAACTTGAAATTTAATGTAAATCTATTATCAAATTCAATTAATTATAACAAACATTACAGCATATCTCATGAACTTCATCATCATTACCTTACTTATCATCCCAAACTATGCTTTATCATCATCTAACAGTTTATTCTATTTTTAAAAAGATTTAAATAAAGAATTTTTAAGTGAAATTATTGATGGGGAAGTTTAGGTAAGATGGAGAACTGTTTTAATTTTATTTGGTCACCCTGATATTATATTTTAACTAAAGGATAGAAGAGAAGTTTTAGTAATAGGATTCCATGGAAATAGTGATAGGTATGATACCTACAGAATTAATGTTGATTAATTTCTCTCATAAGCCTAATCTATTTATTATAAGACAGAGTATCACTAACTCAGAAAGTAACTATTTATTTATAAAAGAAAGGCCAATTACGGTTTTAAAGTTGTTGGAAAAAGTAAAATCTATTGCAATGAGATAAAGCTACCATCTCTTTAATAATAATTGTCAAACAAGTGCTAAAGAACTTAAAGAGGAATTATGTTTTATTTGAAATAATAATAGTCTCTTTAAATAGATCTAAAACTTTCTGATTTCTACGTCTAGTTCTTACAAAAATACTAAATTGTTATTCTCATCCTTTTTCATTAAATTTACTTGAAATCATAAAAAAGAAAATCAACCTTTGTATTAAATTTATCACTTTTAATTTAAAAGTTTGTTTTCTGCTTTCTTCTCCTTTGAATGTCCATTTAACAATATATAAATAATTATTAAGTTTGAAAAATCCTATTCTTTTTGTAATATATCATGAAATCCTCCATATATTAATTGATTGTTCCAGTTGCAATAAGATAGTTAATTGCATTGAAAAATAAATATTAAAATAATATAGATGATCAAAGTTTCTATATTGATTTTGAAAAAGACTTAGAAATTATATAAAGTGAATGTTATGTATAACTCATAAATCATGTGGTTGAAGATCATCTGCATAATCATCAATGTCTTCAACATCATCTTCCTCTTCTTCTTCATCTTCTTTGATCTCAATTGGATTAGCATCAGAATTAAATATTTGTTCTTTGACTTTCTCATCATAGGCTGCTTACCTTTAGATCAAAGATTCCTCATCAAGAATTTGTTTAGGTTTTTCCCATGCAGCATTAGGTGTTCGAACTAATCGAATAATTAAACTCATTATTTATATGTTTAAATAATTAACAGTTTTTAATATTATAATTAATTTATAATTACAAGTGCAACTAGATCTTAAAGCCTCATTTTCTAAGTAATTTCAAAATTTGAAGAGAGAATATTATAGTTTAGTTAATGATTGAGTATATTCTATTATTCAATTAAACTATTTTAGATATTTTGAACAATTTGAATATTATGGGAGAATTTATTGTAGCTTATAATTAGAATGCTTTAATATTATATTCTGCAAACAAGAGTAACCAAAAGGTAAAGATTATATATTTAATGACAATATTTTCAATTATTTAAAAGCGATATGAGTTATTGAACATTATCACTACTAATAGTAGTCTCTTAACATTAGGGTTTATCAGCAACTTGATCTGCTATTTACAACACCTTAAGAACTGAAAATTACTTTTTAAGCTGTATATGATCTGTTCGATTGTAAATTTTCAAGGGTTAGAAGGAACGAACTCTAATTCTGGTAGCATAATATTGATGACCGTCTTGATTGAACCCTATTACTAAGATTTCTTATTAGTCTTTTAAACTAAATAGAATATCAGGTAATTCAATAGTATCATTTAAAAATGGCGCCCTTCTCCATTTTATTTAGATATTCTCATTTATGATTTCACTTAAGAAAGCTTCATCAATAATTTGATTGTCATTTAATAAAGGGTTTGGATGATATTACTTATAGGATTAATAAGTTTAATATTTGTATTTTGGATTTGAGCTTGATGTGGAAGCATAGTTTGGGATGATAAGTAAGGTAATGATGATGAAGTTCATGAGATATGCTGTAATGTTTGTTATAATTAATTGAATTTGATAATAGATTTACATTAAATTTCAAGTTTCATAATAGAATTATACAAATACAATTTATAATTAATTATATATTTTATATACATATTCAATACATATATCAACTATTATTATTTCCATTTCTTTTATTATTTACATTTTTATATTTATTTACTCTATTCAATCTCATCTTCTTATTATTCAAAATTCAATCTAAATTTTGAATATTGGATCAGATATCTATTTTAATATTGAATTTAAAAACACAACATTTTCAATACATTTCCTTTATCAATTTGTTCACATATTTTGTTAATTAAAATTAAATTATGTTAACAAAAAGTATCAGATTATTCAGACAATTTAGATTTTGTTCAGCTATAGAAGAAATTACTAAAAAATAAGCTGAATGGTCAGCCATAGCAAAATAAAAAACATAATCGTAATTAAACCATTAATGTCAAGACAATAAGAATTTTTAGAATAAGCATTATCATAAGACCAAAAATAAAGAGTGAAGGCTATAGCAGATGCTTGTTGTGAGCTGGATCTCTTTGAATTGTAATGTTTGATGAGCTTGTTGAATGAAAATCATTACAAGGCTCAAGGAATTGGTCTCTTTTAGATTGATTCAAATTGGCCTGTAATCAAACAAAATGAAGTACCAACTTGGCCTCCAAAAGAGAAAGAGCAAATCGAGGCATATATGAAAGAACTATTTGGAGAAAATGTCGTAAGATTCCTATCAAATTTCTTAGCCTGATTTCAAAGCCATTTTTGGAGGTGTTGGATCAATCGGTAGTCAAGCTCCATCTCAAAGTGCTGCTTCAAGTGAAGCTCCTAAGTAGGAACAAAAGAAAGCAGAAGCTGCCCCTAAAGTTGAAGCCGAAGTAATTATATAAGTAAACGAAGAAAAAAAATTACGATGTAGAGTTAAGCGCAATTGACGCAGCACAGAAAATTAAGATCATCAAAGAAGTTAGGTACTCAATGAAAGTCATTATAGATAATTACTTAATCTTGGATTGAAAGAAGCCAAAGACTTGGTCGAGAAATTGCCAGCCAATTTGGGTAAGCAAGTGCCAAAGGAGAAAGCCAATGAATTAAAAGAAAAGTTAACAGCTGCTGGTTGTACAATTAATTTGAAGTGATAACCATGGATATATATAAAACATAAATTCATAAATTTGGCAATAATTCTTTAAATTCTTTTAAGTTTAATGGTTTGGATAATACATAAGTCATCCCTGCATCTAAACAATTTATTACATCTGATTCAGCTGTGAATGCTGTTAAACCAATGATCTTGATAAGAGGGATCTTCTAGGCCTTTATCATCTCTAAGATGAGTTTTGTTGTCTCAATCCCATTTAATATCGGCATTTGGTAATCCATCAAAATCAGATCAAGTAATTAACAATGATCACAGCACTTTTATAATTGGCCTATCATATCTATTGCTTATTAGCCATTGAAAGCCTATAATTAAAATATGTATACTGACCACCAAAACTTCAAAGTCCAGTTTTTGCAAAAGCATACACAACGAGTGTTAATTAAAAACCTCATCATCTACTGAAAGTATCCTTCTGCAGTGACATTTCTTTTTTTATACAAAATTCAATAGATTAAACTCACTTTCCTTATCTTCCAATTATTTTAACTATTTTATACTCAATACCTGCGATTTAGAACTCTTACATGACTTTTGATCTTTAAATTGATGTTGTATTGAGGGATAATCATACGATTATCCTAATTGCCTATAATTAATATCTGGACTTTAATCTGAGCTGGGTGAATCATTCAAATAGCTTATTAGTTTAGGATCTGATGCCTGCAATTCTTTAACTTTACTATTCAGAGTCAAAAATTCGCTTGATTAATCTATAATATCAGTAAAGAGTTCTTTTGTCTTCAATTAAGGAAAAATTATATCATTGTTCTTGTGATTTGACATCTTCTTAACTGATGTAACAATTACAGTTCCAATTTATATTTTATTTTAAGAATGGATTTTTGCTCCAATTATATCTGATTTTCTAGAAGCCAACATACATTATCCTCTATTTTAGTCATCCACAAAAATGGTTACTTTTGTTCCTAAATTCTTCCCTTTACTTTTTATCGACAGTAACTATTTATTTGTATTGGCACACAGCTTTGTTAATAAAATTGATGATATCAACAGTCCAAATCCATGCCAGCCTTAATTAAATACAAAATCAGATGTCTCCTAAAATTGATATAAAGTTCTCTAAATTCTCTCTAATTTTTCTTGTTCAATGCCAATCCCCTCATCCTTAATGGATATTTTCAAGGTGTTCTAATCCATTGATTTAAAATTAACAAACACATTACCTCCGTATGAAAACTTTAAAGAATTTGCTAATAAATTTACTATGATTTAAATTAGGCGATTATAATCAGTATTAAAAGTTGAAAAATGATTTTTCTTCATTACAATTACCAAACCCATATTCTTCATCTCAAACTATTATTGAAACAGCCCACTAATCTCATTTATTAATTCTTTGAATGTAAAATCTCTGGTCTAAAGGTAAAATGAATTCGCATAATAATTTGAAAAATCAATTATATCATTAATGATATATGATTGTAATTTCAATGAGTTGAATGCTGGTTACAAATATTGATTTTTGATATAATTATCTACTGTTGAGTCGGACAGTGTTGATTCTATTAAATTTTTGGCACTGTTTAAAGGAGTTTTCATTTCATGAGAAAATGACTCAATTATTTTTGATTTGAAATCATCTTTAATTTTCTATTGAGATAATTCTGTCTATTTGGAGATGTCATTTAAAAAGATAGTGATCTCTTCATTATCACTAATTATCTATCCACTCAAAGAAATGGGATTGCTATTCTATAACTTAAGAGTGCAAGATATATCAAAAGCTTTGTTGCTTGAGGCTTATATCAATGAATCATAGTACCCTTATTTATATTCATTGATAATTTACTCTAAAGTCTTAGTCTGTATTTTGATAACTTGCTTTGTAGATTCTAAGTTTTTAAATTCTCTACAAGACAGATCTCTTTATTTGTCCCTCAGTCTTTTTATTTAAAGTGAGGCACTTTTAAAGTCTTCTGTACATTATTATGGTATTTAAAAGTTTAATTGGGATAAAATAATTTTTTACAATTCATCCTCTACAGAACATTTAAACAATTTCAAAAAGCATTAATTAATGTATTTAACACATAAATTGGAATAATCCAAAATAAGTACTTATACATTCATGTCTTAAATTCTCTATCTCCAGATGTTGTCACTTTTTTTGGAGTAATTAGAGGGAGATTATAATTCATTAAGTTGGGATTGCAAATATTGATTTTTGTTTTAGGTTTTGCCTTTGCTTTGAGTAAATTTCAAAATGTCTATGCCTATTAAAACAAAGGAGCAAACAAAACTTATTGCATTTATCTATACCAAACTAACTGATAAAATGAGGGTCAATTTCCCAAGAATGTTTGCAATTAGGGTAATTTTAGCTAAGCATTGATCTGCTTTTATCTCCAATGGATAACACATCTAAATGGATAAGAATATGCAACTGGGTAATTATATTATTGCAATTGCAAGTATCTCGAGTATCCTATCTGCAAACCTCACTTTCAATATGATATTTGGAGTAATTTTATTCTATAAAAGATACAACAGACAGAATATGAAAATGTCGAATATTACCTTTAAAATAATAACAATTAAGCTAGTCATTATTTCTGTTAATTCTTAAATTAGACTAATATTTAGCACTATTTATGTTGCTAATAGGAAAAGATTAGTCTGAAGAAATGTATCTTTAGTTTATGGTTTCTTGTTCATAATTAGTGATAATTATTGTTATTAAAATTAATATTGATCAAATCAAAGTAAGGCCAATTGATTCATAATTAGCAAGTGTATAATAATTTAATTAACAGTAAAATCATTAATTTTTTTGAAAAACATAAAGTGTTAATATAAAAATGGTTTAGTTTATCAAATTAAAGTGAGAATTTCTTTAAATTCCTTTAGATTAAGTGGTTTATGTAGCACATCGCTCATTCCTGCTTTTAAGCAATTTTCAATATCATTCGAGTTAGTAAAAGCAGTTAAACCAACAATATGAATTCTGGGTAGTATGTTGTCATTCATCATTTTAATTAATTTCTCTGTTGCTTGACAACCATTTAGAATAGGCATCTAATAATCCATCAAGATGAGAGTTAATAATGAACACTTCTTACTACATTTCTTTATGTTCAAAATATCTACACATGCTTATTGTCCATTGAATGCCTAAGATAACACATAAAATTGTTTACCAAAATTACTTCAAATCCCAATTTACACAAGAGCATCTAAATCGACTTTTGATTGAATATTTCATCATCAACAGACATAATTCGTTGACACTGACATTTCTTTCTTCTCTTATACGTTTATAACAGTTCTTCATCCTCCTGTTCTTCTGCCTACTTGATAAACTGAATGCTAAGTATTTTGGAATTGTTAGATCTTTATGATGAATTTTCATTCCTGCTGAAATGTCTTTTTTCAATTATGACTTTTTAAGGGGAACTACAAACGATGTCAGTAATTAAAGAAGGCTATACAGGACTTAACAAACCAAATTTTTAATCTAATGAGTCATAAACAACACTTTCACTAAACATGGAATTGTCATTTGATTTCTATGAACAAAGTTTAGTTTTTTATTTTTTTGGAAGACTCTTCAAACCTTAATCCGTTGTCTAAATAATTGTACCATTTAAATTATTAAGTGAGGTAGTTAAATGAACAGAACTTTGAAATCTTTATGTGTTTTACCTAATTGTAGGCTATTTAACACTGTTAAACTTCGGTAATAAATTCCTAATAAAAAAAGATACCTTTGAACCCATGTTAATTCCATCGGATTCAAACTTAATTGTACTTCTATCAGAGGGTCCCAATTTAGATACTAGCATTGCTGAAATCAATAATCCAAATCCCTGCCAAGATTTATTTAATTGGATCTCCTTGTGATTCTTCAGATTGTTTAAATATGATTATATCTAGGTTATGTTCAGAGATGAAACCCCCTATCCCATATCAGTCACAGTAAACTTCAGGATGTCTTTCGTATGAGATTAGATTTTCAAGACAATCAATCCTTCAGTTGAGAATTTGATGGAGTTTTGTAGTAAATTCACCAATATTTGCATTAGTTTACTATAGTCAGATATTACAGTAGCTGTACAACAATCCATTAGGTCTACTCTAAATTCAAGATTCTTCTCAGCAAATTACATTGTAAAGAGTGAATTAACTTCATTTATTAATTCTCTCATTGAAAATTCCTTAATCAAAAGTTCTAAATTGTTTGTACTTGAGGATGTGAAAT